ACGATCCTAAACCACTGCCCAAACCTGAAAACATTCGGCCAAACTCACTCTTGATTCCCGGGTCTTTGCCAATTGACAGGGGTTGTCCTTGGGCACCCTGGACTGCTTGCGGCAATGGAGAGGCGCGACCGGTTCGTCTGCTTGCCTCGAGTCCGAAGCCAATGTGGGACTTGGAGTGTTGCATAGCCTCACCCATCTTCTGAGGCTGGTCGTACAGAGACCTCCCTCCGGAAGACAACGAGCGAGCAAGTGGCTCAGTTCTGTGGCGCTCCATGGTGGTCGGGTCCGAGGTAGGAGGAGCATGGTACTGCTCTACCACACGGTGCCCCAGGTGGTCCACACTGCGGCGGAGCATCTCCTCGGAGGTTTGCGCGCCATAGCGTGCAACTCCCAGCATGGCGGGAGGATATGGGCCGTACGTGCGGTGCAATGGTGGAGGCTCGTCTTGTCGTCCATCGTGGGCAAGTTCGCGGCCAGAGCCCGTTGGTGCTGAATGCCGCCACAGGTGGCGCGGGGGTTCCGATGAGCCAGAAATGTTGCGATGCTCTTGCGGTGGGCTGAATGCAGATTGTGACAGGGGATGTACGGTCGCAGCCCTATCTCTCTCGGGTCCGCTTTGGCTGCCGCCTGCCAGGAGCTCAGCGGCATTTGGCCTTGCATGATGCGACTCGCCCAACGTTCGTCGCCGCTCTTCGTGCGGACCATATGCATCCCGCCGACTCCCAAACGCGTCGTACACGACCCTGCCCTCTTGATCGTTGTTTCCTGGAGGGCCATTTGGCTGGCTGTTCGGCCGAGGCGGGACGTTCGCAGCGGATTGGCGGTTTGGGTCTTGCGCGTAGAGACGTTGGCCAGGAAAATTCATAGGCTTGTAAGGCGGAGCGTTTGGTGGAAGTGAGTGGCGGCCAGAGTCAGGCGAGGCTTGGTTGCTGTAGGACTGGCCAGGTGATGCCGATGAATAAGGGTGTGCATCAGAGGGGCGCGAGGTGTTTGCTCCATACATGCCGCGCTCGGGCGTCTGCTGGCGGCGAAAGGGCGCAAAGTCTGATCGGGGGCCCGATGGCAATGCGCGACGCGGCGAGGGCGGCTGCATGCTGTGGCCGTTTGATGGGGGCGCGTTTGCGGAGGGCGATGATGGCGACTGCGTTATTTGGATGGGGGCGCCTGTGTCACCCCCGCCACCGATCAGGGACGAGATGGCCATGCTGGTGCCCGGTCGCATTGCTTGTCCTAGGCCTGGGAGCTCCCTAGCGGCAGCAAAGTTGGGAGGGTATTGCGAGCGCGGTGGTTGAGATGCATGGGGATGCTGCTGGGTGGGCGAAGATGGAGGAGGCATCTGCGGTCGCGCATAGGATGGAGGCGGTGGAGGGTCGCGAGACGGGCCTTTGGTGCAGAGTTAGCTCGAGCAGAAGCTTGGAGGGGGGGGTGTGACTAGGTGCGGGCAGGCGGGGGAGGGCAGTAGTACCGTAGGGATGGGGAGGACTGGCGCCGTTCAGCGAGCGTGTGCGGGCAGCGTCGAAGGCATACGGGGCGGGGGGAGGATTATTATTATTTGGAGTGGTCATGGCTGGCAAAGGGCCCGGCTGGACGTGATGAGTTTCATAGTGAATCGGTCGCGCTAGAGACATGGATCAGCACAAGCTTGGACGGTGAGTCGCGACTTTTCTAAAGAGGCTTAGAGGCCCGCCGATCTTGCATTAGCCAGGAGCCACATGTGCGGAGTGCGCCATGAAATTCGCCAGACCCATGCCCGCTCCACCAAACAACTGGCGCGCACCAAGGTGCGCAGCTCAAATCATTGTGTGGCTCGGGCTGGAAGGCTGCGACACTCCGTCAAAGGCAACTGCTAGCTGGGAACCATGGCCTGTCGCTGTGTGCGCTACAATGGACGGGCGACAGGCGGTGAGGTGCTTTTTCGCAATTGACGTGGCATGCACCCTGTCCCTGCAGGCGATGCCTTTGGTACATGTCGTCTCTTTGTCGAATACCCACCCCACCCGACCAGTTCTCAGCGATATATGTAGAGGCTGCGTCGAGGATTGCAGGCCAGGGGAGCCATTGTCCATGCGCATTGGCGCGCTCTTGGAGAGATGGGTAGACAGTGATCCGTACCTGTGTTTGACCAAGCTCCCTGGGCGTGCCCCTCTCCTGCCTGGCCCTGGGGCACGTTGTTCCCTCCCGGCCGTGTTTGGCTGCCATGGCGAGCGTGTTGCGGGACTGAAGGGTAAAATGCATCGCGACGAGAAGTCGGCTTTGGGTCGGCGGCATGGGGCGCGTGCGAAGGTTGTTGCGAGGGCGAAGAGGGAGGATAGGCGGGATAGGGCTGGGAGGAATGCGGGTGGTTGTTGTTCGTGGGACCATCTGGCGGGCGTTGGAAAGACGGCGGGTGGTTCATTGTAGGCTTGGGCTCATGGGCTCGGCGGTACTATGTATAGCAGCAATGGAGGGGCTTTGCGAAGACAGAACGACAGGGTCCGCTCTGTTGATCGTCGCGCGCAAGAAGAGAGGGTGCTGCCAAGAAGGGAGGGGAAAGATGGAAGAGGGACCGAGGATAAGCAGGTAGCAGAATGAAGAAGTGGAGAAGAGGGAGACGACAAGCTTAGGCATAGGCAGCAGAGGCATCGGCACCAGCACCAGCAAAAAGGTCGAGCATGCGAGGAAACGAGAAAGGCGCAACGGACCCAAGCGCTGCCGCACGGCGAGAGGGCCGCTAGTGCTAGTGGCTGCATCCCTGTAGGCGAGCAGGAGGCCGAGAGAGCCCCGCATGTGCGTGCATGCTCTCCTACCAGGGGCCCCAGCCCACGCCCGCTAGCTGGCTATGATGTGGTGGCAGCAGTAGCAGCAGCAGCATCAAATGCAAACCATGTGCCCACACCCGCCATCCGGTGGATGATGCGTACATGTCTACGGCCACATGTGTGCATGTGTATGCACATGGCAAAACGCCCTAGGAGCCGTCTCGCCCTGGTGGGTGGGTGTGGTGGGTGCATGCCATGGCGACTCGCGCACAAAAAAGAAACGTCGATGCAACCTCGGACCAGCAGGCCATGCATGCTGTTCCTGAATGGTTCCCAGACCGCCAGATGCCAAGCCACATCGTCAGCTGCAGCCCTCACCACCACTACCACGGCCACGACCACCATTCACCCACCACGCCCGTATCCGCTCCACGTGCCTTGTAGCCCTCTCCCCTCCGCAGTCTGTGTATGCGTATGCATGTGTGTGATATGTAAAGTGCCACCCCCCCCCCCCTCGCAAATACATGTCTCTCCTCCCCATGCCTGGCTCTCCTGCTTCCTCCTGGGCCCTCTATCGCGCCCGTCTGCGACAGGTCTTCCATGGCGCTGATCCGCGAGTGTGTGCGGCTTTTTGGTTGTTTGGTATGCCTCTCCGCCCTGCTGCAATCTCCCTGCATGTCCAATATCCAACCTACAGACACCCCCGCTTACAAGCTCTAGGCCTCATCAACAACGTCCTCTACGTAATCATTCTCTCCGCCGCCCTCGATCTCGTAGGCCCCAACGTCCCCAAGGGCGTCGTCCTCCTCGCCGATGTCTTACCCTCGTTCCTTACAAAACTATGCGCTCCTTACTTCATACACAAGATCCCCTACCATGTTCGCATCGTCACCTTTGTCGCCCTGTCCGCAGCCGGCATGCTCATCATCGCCCTCACCCCGCCCTTGCAGGACTCGGCTACAATCGCAATCAAAATGTGTGGCGTCATGATGGCCAGCCTTAGCAGCGGGGGTGGCGAGCTTAGCTTCCTGGGCCTCACTCATTTCTATGGCCACTTTGCACTGGCTTCCTGGGGCTCCGGTACGGGCGGTGCGGGCTTGATCGGTGCGGGCGCATACGCCATTGCCACAAACACACTCGGCATCGATCCTCGCACAAGCTTGCTTGTCTTTTCCTTCTTACCCCTGGTCATGATCTTTAGCTTTTTCTTTGTCCTCCCCCTTGGCCCACTTCGCGCCAGCACCAGCAAGCATGCCGAGTACGAAGCCATCGACGATGAGGAACCAGACGCCGAAGACGAAGAAGCAACAGAGCCCAGGGAGCACGATGACCTGCTCTCTTCCTCCATGCACTCGGCCTCGGGCCGCACCTTTAGCTCCGCCAACAGTAAGCCTGCTAGTAGTGCGCTGAGTAGCTTCCAGGCCAATCTGAACCGTGCAAGAGGCTTGTTCTTTCCTTAGTAAGTAACCCACCCCATGTCACATAGTCACTTGCGACTGACACACTCCAGCATGCTGCCTCTTCTCCTCGTCTACATTGCCGAGTACACAATCAATCAAGGCGTCGCACCCACCTTGCTGTTCCCTCTCGAATCCTCCCCCTTTGATGAATACCGCTCCTTTTACAGCACATACAATGCGATCTACCAGGTCGGTGTCTTCATCTCACGCTCTTCAACGCCTTTCATACGCATCCATCATCTCTACCTTCCTTCTTTTCTCCAAGTCGGCAATCTCATTCTGCTCACGCTGCACGCCATGTTTGCATTCATCCCAAGCTACTACATTGTCTGCATCATCATATTCTGGGAAGGTTTGTTAGGCGGCCTGGTTTACGTCAGCACATTTGCTGAGATAACCGACAATGTGCCCAAAGAGGACCGGGAATTCAGTCTGGGTGCGACAAGTGTAAGTGACTCGGCTGGCATTTGCATTGCTGGCTTCTTGGGTATGATCGTCGAGGTGAGTCTCTGTCGCTGGCAGGTAGAGCATGGGAGAAATTACTGTAAACTGCAATAGAACTGGACAGTATAGATTGTTGTTTTGCAAACTGTTCTTGGGTTATCCTCTTTTCTACAAAATTCCTCTTCCTCTGATTGTTCCGTTGTACCCATCTGGCCCTGCTGAACCACAATTGATGAACCCGCCTCGTCCTTTCCCCCAACAGTTTCAAAACCAAACTGCGTATTCACTCACACCCGCTCTTGTCCGCATCACCAATCACACAGTATCAACATCACTAAGCAGCACTTCAAACACCGCAAGGCATATTCATCCCACGCCATCTGTAGCCACAATGTCACTTCCGACTCCAGCCAGTCCAACAACCAACAACGCACCTCCACACCCACACACACAACAACAACAACAACAACAACAACAACAACAACAACAACAACAACAACAACAACAACAACAACAACAACAACAACAACAACAACAACAACAACAACAACAACAACAACAACAACAACAACAACAGCAACAACAACAGCAGCAACCGAAGCAACCGAAGCAAAAAAGACTCACCGCGCTTCAAGCCCCTAGCCTCCATCGCCGAAGTCCCCAGCCTAGCCTCCACCTCCGCCCGCCCCTTCACCATCGCCGAACTCGAAAAAAACACCCCCATTCTTCTTCACCTTTCCCACCACGGTCGTATGCATTCATCTCCCCAAAATTCCCCAAGAAAGAACCCCCAACCCCCCCCCCCCCCTCCACAAAAAAGAGAGTAATAGTTTTAGTATATAACGAAAAAAAAAGGCTAACACGAGAGAATGATTACAGAAACTTAAAAATCACGGTACTATCCAAGTTAACAACGCGTCACACATGAACGATTTACTGTTTTGGTACCGGTTCCACTCGGGCGAGTACAGTGATGCTGAGATCAAGGGGTTGGTGTCGACGCTGAATGTGGGGCAGACGACGATGCTGAGGGAGGAATATGATAGTGCGTGGGTTGTTGATGCGAGTTTGAGGGAGGGACCTGGAAGGGAAGAAAAAGGAGGGGAGGGGGAGGAGGGGGGGAATGAGATGGAGGTGAAGGAACAAGTGCAGGGGGAGTAGAAGGGGACTTTGTTTATCTGTCTAGAAGGGAGATTGGTAGGAGGAGGAGGAGGAGGCTGCTAAACCAAAGTTTAGTGGGGATGTTGGGGTTATCGAGCATGCTGGAAATGAGTCACTACACCATTCTCTGACTTGTAAACCAGTCACTTTAACACTACAACCCCGCCAAGTCATATGCACTCGAACCACTCCCTAATACTTGCATAAATCAAGGTGGTAGACGGTAATGAATTGCTCTTTTTCCGAGACTCATCTAAAATACACATCTCCCTTCCCTCACTGTCCATTCACCGTATGCACAGACATACACATACACACACTTATCAGCTTACAAAGCCTCGGTGAGGAGCTTGTTCATCTTGGCCATCTTGTTGGCGACAGACAAGTCAATCGTGCGGTCGGCAATCTCGACGATAAGTCCACCACGGATCTCTGGGTTGACCTTGGGCACAACCTTGAGCGTCTGGCCGCTAGTTACGTATTTCGAATTCTTGATGGCAGTCTCAAGGCGGCTGATTGTCCGGTTGTCAAGGGGCTGCTCTCTTTGTCAGTTATTATATCTCATTAACACCATCTCTCTCCCACGTCCATCATCTTCGAGTTTGGGGCACTCTCCGATATCCAGGAATTTCTACGTACCGCAGCGCTAGTAACAGTAAGTTCAACCTCACCACGGTGCGCACCCATGAGTACACCAAACTTCTCAACAACGCCCTTCAGCACGCTCAATCGGTTGTTCTCAGCGAGAGTGTTGAGCAGGTTCTTGACGATGCCCTCCTTGTCAGCGCCGCCAATGTGCTTCTGGAGCTCTTGGACAATCTGCTGCTTATCCGATACAGACAGCGAAGGCGCGTGGAGGATGTCGTTGAGCTTGGCGTCCTTCTGGAACACACCCTGGAGGTTCGACAGAGACTTGGCTGTGGGCTCGAGGGCGTTGGTCTTTGCCGCCGCGGTGTACTAACACACATAAATGTTAGCCAAGCTTTCCTTTTCTCCCAAAACTTCCCCATTGTTTCCCTTCGTTTTGCATCCTCCCAACCATTGCTAAATGGCCAATTGGACTCGTGGAAGTCGTACCAGAGCGCTCGCGTAGGTTCCGTCAACGCCGAAGAGGGCAACCGGGGGCTTGATGGCAGAGCCAGATGGGGCGGCAGCGGCGTAGCTTCGAGTGGCGGCGTAGCGGGCAGCAATTGGGGCGCGGGGCGCACCGGCCCGGAAAGCGGTGCTGAAGGCTCGAGCTGTAGACATGGCGGGTAGAGAGGAGATGGATTGCGGAGATGGGGGGCAGCTTTCGGGATCGCGGGTTGCTGATGAGGATGCTGCGATGAGGTTTCTGAGCGGGCTCGGCACTTGGTTGCGACTATCCCCGATTCGGCTGCGAACCATGTTCTCACGACAACTTCAACCTCCCCGCTCCCACATTATCCTTGTCATCGAATGACATATTAAACGTGAGATGAGAGTACTAGCCGTATCTCATGAGTCAAACTCAGCACTTTTGATTTTTCTCAGGTAACACAATGCTGTCATCAGGGCTCAATCGGAAATTGATAGTGTACAGTAGCAAATAGCTTAACCAAGTAGTATTAGACCTCTGGTTCTGTAGTGTAGGCCATGCATTGAAGTCGACTCCTTAAAGAGTTTTTATTGGTTTTGTGTTCTCTAATTGCGCACGCTCTGCTGCGACCATCTTTGCATACCAGGTGAGCCCCTTCAACTAGTAGTTCATCAAAATCTTCACCTTGTTACTCCGCCCATATGATCAAATCTACCGCCTCTATCAGGATGACCTGTACGACGCAAGCAGTTGAGTAGCATCTCGATCCACTATATGCCCCCACATCATTCTAGTGTATTGAATAGGAACGGCTTTCACTCATGCATAAACGTAGATTTTGAATCGTATATTCATATATTCTCTTTTCATCAAACGCGATCCAGTATACTAGATATTACTTTAGTATGACATGCAGTATAACCACATGTAATGCTCGAAATGATGGTGTCTTGGCCTAATGTATTCTCCCATGCCAAGTCATGATGATGTGTGTCCAGGATTTCTAAAAACCCTTTTCCGATCCTAGAGCGCCGCGCTATTATACAAACCAAACCATGAACGCTATTAGTCTGACCACCCAAATCACTTTTTAAAATAACACCAACAACCAACCGGCAGCGCCAACGACTAGGCTCTCAACCCATCTGTCGATGCCTGCATGCTGTACTGAGGCACCAACACCTTTGCTGGTCTGGCCTACACCACTCGCAATAAGATCGCCAGCGTTGCGACTTGTCGTTACAGATGCCATGCTTGAGCTGGTAGTGCTTGCACTGTTACTCTTCGGGAGACTGTGAACAGTGCTCATCTGCCCGTTGATAATCAAGGCTGTACCTGACTTGTCTAAAGAGTATGTTGTTCCATCCATCTCAACAGTAGAACCAAGTACAAGTGTCGTACCATCACCCAACACGTACTCCGTTGTTCCATCCCTTACTGTTTGTGTGTACGTGACATCTTTGATCGTTAGCGCAGGAGCAGGTGTTATAACAGCACCAGGAGTCATGGTAGATGTAACGCCGTTGATCACGACAACACCGGCTAGTGCACCCTCGGGCAAGGAGTATGTAGTTCCCGAAATGGTGAGAACGCCGCCAGGTGTGAGGGTTTGACCAGGAGCGGGTACATAAGCTGTTTGACCGTTGATTACAACAACACCACCCGGTGCGCCTTGAGGCAGAGAATATGTTATCCCGGCCAGGGTAAGAACACCACCGGGCGTGAGAGTTTGGCCAGGAGCGGGTATGTAAGCTGCTTGGCCATCAACCGCAATCCAACTGCCTGCGCCTACCGCCTGACCAGGCGCTACTACACCGACCGTCAAACCCCCAATTACTGTCGTAAATATGGTACGATCACCTACAACCGACGCAGGAGGAAGAGTAACAGAGTGTGAGAGCCCAGCAGTAATAGTCTGTGTGGCGCCATTGACAACAGCAACACCACCGGGGCCAAGACTAACAGTGTTTCCATTGACAATAACCGGTGGGCCTCCAGGCTTCAAAGTCTCTGTCCCGAAGACAAAATCTCCTTGTGGATTGGCAGCGATTGTTCCCCCGCCGACAGTGAGCACGGGAGGTCCTGGTGTTGCCGCTGCGTCGAGAGCAACTGTGCTACCACCTACAATAATCCTTGCTCCCTCACCATTCCCGGGAATGATAACAGGGACTCCGTCGACGGTTTGAGTTTGCCCTGGTCTGAGTGTCTGGCCTCCAACAACGATCACAGGAGGAAGCCAATCCGGAAAGTCTTGATCTTGGTGATCTGGACTACCAGACTGGCCTGGGACTTGTCCAGCCGGGCTTGCGATCGGCCCAGGCGCATTTGGGGTTGGTCTAGGTCCATTCAAAGGTCTTGGTATGTTGTCACTTGGTTTGTTGGGCTCGTTTGGCGGGAGTATAAGGTTATGTATGTCGGGGTTGCCCGCAGGAGTTGGTGAAGGCAGATCGGCTTTGAGCGACACCGGGGAATCAGGGAGGCACCTCAAACAACCTCGCACCGTGTTGTGAACGGAAGTAGACTCGTACGTTGTCGAGAGGAAAGTCGATGTTGTCGGCGACGCAAATACCGGTTGAGATGTGGGCGTAGGCGGAGCAGCAGCAGGAGGAGGCAACCCCACACCAGGCAGCGTAGATAAGGGGGTACCAGGAGGGGCACCAGGAAGGGCCAAGGATAGCTGGAGGGAATCACTGAGACTGGGTCTGTGAAATGAACATGAAGCAAGATCCAGGCCCCGAAATTGCGACTGAATCGCTGGATCTTGCCCAAGGTATTGAAGGACCTGGGTGGGCAACGGGAAATTGTATTGGCTTGTAGTGCCTGTTTGCAGTGGTTCCGTGTGCGTTACTATGAAATGGGCCCAATTTTGTAGTGCAGTCCTGGGTGGCTCCCAGCCTTTTAGCGAAGTCTCCTTGGGCACACATTGCGTGAGGGTCTGGTTCTTCTGGGCAAAGTGCAAGTTGAAATATTGGTCAGGCCCACCAAATATATGGTTGTAGATAACGTAGGTGGGTCCTGCATCGAATTGTAGGCGTACCCCATCCGTAACCTCTACAGTGAACGTGGGCGTAGTGTGAGTAATGATTTCATCGTTACTGCCTGTAACAGTTTTTGTTTGATTGACAGTGTGCTCCTGGGTAACGACCGTGTCGATGGTGCCGTTGTTCAAGTAGGTGATGTACTCAGTAACGATGGTCTCGGTCACAACCGTGCTAGTCCAGCGTTCAAAAAGCCCGGCAGAATCAAACCAAGTAGTTATAGGACGTTTGGCTGCAAGCAAGCAGCCTGTGCAGGATGAGTTACATGTGGAACACGACGTTTGGTTGGCTGGGGTAACCTGTGGGAAATGGGTTGGTAGCAAAGGAGGAGTATAAGTGATTACTGTAGGCACTACTGGCGTCGGGCTGCTTGTAGGCGTCGTATTTGTGTATATTGGACCTGAAGGCTGGGGACCGGGCGCAATTGGTGCATGTCCAGGGCTCGCGACAAAATGAGGAGGAAGTGTCATGGGCAATGCAGTCTCTTGAGCATTGTCCAGATCGAGAGGAGGAGATGCAGGCTGTGGGGCTTTGGGGGCGTGCCATTCCTCATGTGGAGCATCAACCGGAGGGAGGGGATTCCAGGAAAAGAGGTCTAGGGCGATCAATCCTTCTGCTGTGTACCTACAAAGTTGGGTGCTGCAACATACCACCTACGAATGATTAGTCACGAGAAAACATGGCTGGCAAAGAGAGGGTAGTTAAGTGTAGTCGAGGGAACATACTGATTACATGTTTGGCTCTCGATTCTGCGCCAATGGCGAACAAGGCAGGCACATATAAACGAGCGAATGTGCGCATCCTGCTATGATTCCCTTTACACAAAGCGAGTGACAATGCAAAGGTCAAAGCAAGACGTTGTTGCAGCGCAACAGAGACGAGAGGAAACTAGCGAGTGATGCTCCAATCGGGTAGGTTTGATGATGGCAGATCAAGTGCATATGCCGCGCTGAATGACGGCGGTCCATGCGCTTCTCCTGGTTGGCACCAACCTTGGCAAAGCGACATGCCGTGAACGCGTATGTACTTACATATGCTGTATATGTATGCTGTTATGTCAGGAAATGCTCCCACTCTACCTGTGCTCGACGACAATGTGCTGGCAGTAAGCCCAGCGCCCTTCACCTGGTACCAGGCCTTTCCACTTCGATATGCTCTGGCACTGTCGAAGGGAACTTTGCTGCTAGCTACAAGCCCGAACCGGTAGTGTATCGACGACGCTGACACTAGGGCCATGGCAAACTCTGTCCTCAGGTATCCACGTGATACGTCCCCTTGGAACCGCCATCCGCGCGGCCGGCGGAATACGGGCGTGGCAATGGAAGAGGGCAGTGGTGGCGGCGTTGCGCCAGCGCGAACAGAGGGGCAGCCCAAGCCATGACTGCGTTGTGTATGTACATATGGTGCGTATGTAGGTACGTACTGCATACACAGATATGTATTGCATCGGAAGAGGCACAGGCAGGCCACTTGCGACATTTTCGAGCCACTACCCCAGACTGCCAAGTGTCGCCCGGTGGAGATGGACATGACACTGGCAGCAACGGCATGATCTCAACAGGAGTGGCATTGAAGAAGACGGCAGGGAGGTTGTGCCACATAAGTGAATGGACGCTGACATGACCGGTGGCAAGCTCCGGCACCGCAGCCCCCTATTGGCTGCGAGCCTAGCACGACCAGAAGAGCATCCCTCAACATGACTTCACCCTTGTGTCGCTCCCATGCCATCTCGTATTCACTGCCCTACATTTCACACTAGGCAGGCTTTCGATAAGCTTAGGATGATGAGCACGGTCTGTGATCCTCGCCTCGGGAGCCATGGAGCCATTCCGTGGGTTGCCGTCGCGCATCCATCCCATTCCTTCAAACCTTCACGACTTTTCGACACCAGCCTTCCGGTAAGTGAGACTAGGTCGATAATTCTCCGATCAAGGGGTCGACACACAATGTCACTCGAACCCCACTTCATCCACTGACTAAGGCCCTGCGCTGCTCCTCTCAATGGGCTTCTGCTTGCTCACCTCCCTTCGCTTCCTGCATCATGAGTCTCGCTGCGCGGGCAACGGGCGCCCCCGCACCCTACACTGTTCCTCCCTCGGGCAAGTTCGACGGCGCTGATGGCAGCTGGAGCACGTTCAAAGTCAGTGTTGGGTCGCCCGGCCAGGATTTCCGTCTAATACCGAGCACCAAAGCAGGCGTCACGTATGTAATTGCTCCAGAGGGTTGCTTGGCTGGAGTCGACCCCTCAAACTGTCCCCAGCTTCGCGGAATCGAAATCTTCAACAGTGCGCAAAACACCGGCTTTCATGTCAACGTGTCGTCAACATGGTCAGCGATAGGGCAGTTCGAAGTCGATCTGGAGGAGGGCCTCAACTACACCGGACGAGGCCTGTTCGGAACTGATGTTGTGTCCCTGGGAGCTGCTGCCGATCATGGCTCGTCTCTATCCCTCAAAGGTTCCATCGTCTCTGCTATAGCGGATCCTGACTATTATCTGGGAATGCTTGGGCTTGGTCAGGTCAAATCCAGCTTCAACAGCCAAAGTCAACCGGTCGATTCGACGCTCTACCAACTACGCGAGAACAAACAAATACCCAGTTTTTCCTACGCGTATACGGCAGGCGCAAAGTACCGATTAAAGTCTGTTCTGGGAAGTCTAATTCTTGGAGGCTACGATACGACACGATTCGACACCGTCACCGACAACCTGTCTTTTACATTTTCCCAGGACTCTTCTCGGCTTCTGACCGTCGGTGTCAACTCAATAATGGCCACCAACACGCTACAAGGGACTTATTCTCTCACTTCTGGCGCACATTTTTCCGTCATCGATTCAACTGTGCCACATTTGTGGTTGCCCGAGAGCGTTTGCGCTGAATTCGAAACCGCCTTTGGGCTTACTTATGATCCTCAAACAGACCTTTATCTTGTTAATGATACTATCCACGAACAACTGGTCTCGAAGAACCCGACACTCACCATTAAGCTTACCAATTCGCTGGACGGTGCGACCAACAACTACACTAATATCCAGTTGCCATATGCTGCGTTCGATCTGCAAGCTTCGTATCCCTTCTACCAAAACGCCACAAACTACTTCCCGATCCGCCGCGCCGCGAATGAATCGCAGTATGTACTTGGCCGAACATTGCTACAAGAAGCATACTTGATTGTCGATTATGAGCGGGCAAACTTTACGGTTGCGCAAGCAGTATTTCCCGACCCCCTACCTCCTGCAGAAGTCATTACAATCGTTTCACCAAGCGACTTACCAGCAACCCAACCCTCGTCGTCAGATCTCAGTACCGGTGTAATTGTCGGAATAGCAATCGGAGCAGTCGCAGGTATCGTTATCGCCATCTTAGCATTCTTCTTCTGTTTCCGTAAACGACGCGGCAAGAAGCAGGCACAGAACAATCAACAATACGAATTGGCAGGCAAAAACATATCCGAAATCGAATCTGGAAACAACATGTCTTCAAGTATCTTACCACTCAAAGATACAGGCCCACAAGAACTCAACAGTACGCCATTGATAGAGCTCGCATCTCCTGCCAACGACCATACAGTCGGGCATGCCTACCCACAAGATCAAAAAACAGTCGTTCAAGTAACGGACGAACCACAAGAGCTGCATGGCGAGTCGATGATACCAATAACACCCAAATGGCAGGAGGTAGAAGCACCGCCGCCGACTTACCACCACGATACGGATGGAGAAAGTAGCACCATCCAAGGTGTGAGCACGATGCTGAGTGACAGCACAGTTACACCCAGCGATTCGAACTCACAAGTTTTAGTTTCACCACTTACGCCTCGGATTCCTCAGTACAGATATTAATGATTGGGTTGGCATTTTGTTGAGCATACAATTGGCGTTTGGGTGTGTCATGTTTTTTTGAGATACCACTTACATGTAGAAAAGGGCGGGGTTGTATGCATTTCTGGCAAGAGTGTAGAGTTAGTAATATCCTATTTCTATGCCTCCAAACGGAGGGTGAATCGGCATTCAATATTCTTTGTATATAACTATCGATAATATTATAGTTATATTACAATCGAGTTTTTGTATGCTCCACGTTTTTTGCCTCTTCAAAAGTAAGCACTGTGTGTTATGGAGAAAGTAGCTGCATGATCAGAGTGGCTTTGACTCGAAGGTGTATTCGGCTTCTATACGTATTCACAATCCCTTACTGGCAGGTGCATGTGCTTATGGCTTCTTCTCGGATATTTCCGATTTTTTTTGGATAACAGGGCCGACCGGATGGATGTGTTCTCCACTTGAGGGGAGTTTTGCGAACAGCAAACATGTACATGACATACACGTCACCTATGAATTAAAATGGTAGCGCTTATGCATAAGCGTGGGCGTCAACACTTTTCGCTACCGTCCTCAAGTCCGATGTAGATGCTAAGTACATGCAGGTGCTCCCGCACACATTGGGCCGAATCAGGGATCCATGTCCAATGTAACCCAATAAGGACATGCAATCCAAAAGAACTATTTCTGTATGAATGTCAAGCCGCAACAAAAGTGGTCTTAGTTCATTCGTAAATGAAATCATGAACCATGCTTGAATAGATCCACTCATAACAAGGCAGCTAGTAGTTTGATTGCCTCCAGCCTATGACGTAGGCGCCACGCATAGCTGGTAGCCATCACCCCTCATCCCCACGCCTCCTTCTCCCTAGACAACACCCCAGACACCTAACTTTTGTTCTGTTTACACATCTACGCTCATAATACAACCCTTCAGCGAATACTTCCTAGCCAACAAACCTAGAATTCCCAATCGGCAATGGACAAGATCAAGGAGAAGCTCCATATTGGCAGTGGTCGCCGCAAGTCGCAGCCTGACAACGACTTTTCTACTGGCACTGGTCATGTTGGCACTATTGAGGGTGCGTACTTAATACCACATATTATATGAAAGCTTTGCATCCGCAAGCTGCCGTCCCTTTCATCGCTTTCTAAGCAAGGGTTGAGCATATGCGACACTTCAGCCTCACCACTGACAATGAGAATAGAAAACCGTGACTCGATCGACTCTGAACTTGCAGCGATGCCTCCACACGAGCGTGTTGCCTATCTGAAAGAATTCGAAGAGTCGGATAAGGCCGACGCGCCCAAGAAGGGAGGCCTCATCGAGAAGCTCATTGCCCGAGGCAACAAGAAAACCGAAGACCAGATTGCAGCAGAGACCAGGGAGCGCGAGGCACGCGAGAAAGCTCACCGTGAAGCAACGCACGCAACCATGGGTCCTGGCGTGGGCGCTAGCACTCAATCAGCTGCAGGCCCTGGTGGCTTGTAAGCCATATCGATGAAAGAGCGCCAATGAATTACGAACGGAAAAGAGTGGGAAAAAACATTACTTTATGACCATCGATTATGAAGAAGGCTCTTTTTTGGAGGGCGATGGACTGGAGATTCCAGACATACTTTTACCGACATGACGATCAATGACATCAATCTGAGCTGAGCTGAGCTGAGCTGAGTTGAACCTCTGAATTCCTGGGATTCGCATGATGCAATGGCCGGAAGTAATGAATGATCGTGAAGCTGATTACAAAGGGACTTCGAAAACCCTACTGACAATTACATGCTTTACAGTTTTCGTTACACATTTCTGGATCCCTAAGCTTGATCCTATGCAGCCGTGCAAAACGATGCTTCGTTCTCTATTTCTCTTTGATCCATATGCCCATATCTTTAACATCGAAGTCAACAGCGGTGCCATTAAGGTACTCGCAAGAAAGAACGAAAATGTTACGAGACAGTGTCGTATACAAGGCCTAATGCAGAACGTTACACCTAACATGTGAAATCGAACACGAAACATCCCTTTTCACTGTCAGAGTCTTCCTCCTGTCCATTTGCTCGCCTATGAAACTGGTATATTACAAAGAAAAAAAATGCGTGCTCATTACATCTCTCCCCAACCCCCCGAACCCATGTCCTTTTTTCTTTACCTTCTCTCCTGGCCGTAAGTAAATCCCACCCTTGATTTTACATTTCAAGAAAAACCGATACAACAAGCATCTCCCAGACAGATGCAAAGTTTTACAAGAATATTGGTAGTTCTAAACATAGATTCTTGTTTTTGCTTTGTTTGTACCTGGAGCAACAATAGGTTCCAAGAATAATAACTACCGCCCTCTTTTTTCCAACAATCCCTATCACTGTTTTTCAAACCGGGTATCCCTGTTCATCAGGCGCTTCCGGTGCTCCACTCACAGCACCGTATACCCGTATCGGGACCTGGACTTCGAAGCTTTCAGCTGGTAATCGTTGTGCAGCAGCTAGTATAACGCCGCGGTCATCAGTAGATATTTCTTCTAGGAGATCATCCCATGTTGCTTCTTCGCCATTTTCGTGTGTCAGGCGTGGGGTGATGAATTCGATGCGGAGTTTCCACTCGAGGCTTACACCAGATGTGATGAATTCTGGTGTTGCGTTGGGGGGTATGGTGGGCGAGAAAGCGAGTTTCTGGGCAAAGAGTGCGTTTTCTGAGAATGATGCGTGGACTTTCTTTGTAACTCGGTAGATAGAGGCATTGGAACGCAGTGCGATTGCGGGATCCACTTTTTCGGATGTTTCGAGTGAGAGATGAATTGAGTAGCACGGGATGTGCGAATCGGTAAAGTCGACGACTGCAGTCATAGTCTCGCCGAGTCGATAGGAGGGCCGAGCGAGCATTATGACAGCCACACGTCGGCCGCTGCGAGCGATTTCGAAGCGATTGGCGCTTTGGTTTGCTGCACCAGTCAGGTTGCTGCGCAAGATGGCGGCATCAATGGCTTCCTTCATAGTCTGGGGTTCTTCAGCAAACGAGGATCGGCCAGGGAGAGTGTCAGTAGGTGACATTAGGCCCATATTAGTGTTTTGCTGGGGCCGCTCTAGCAGATTGTTGACATAGTCAAGAAAGTCACTGAAAGTATCCTCCTGGGCCTTCCCTCGAGGAGCACCCTTTTTGGTCGGAGAGAGGTTCCCGGTTGATGTGGGGTCAATAGCCGCCGTTCGTGCTTGATCACGAAGTAGAATATACGGAGACATCAAGTCGTGCCCAAGGATCTCGCCCCGATCTACAGATGATTAGTATGGTGCGAAGTGCGGAATAACAGTAGGCAGACATACTGTTCACGCTGCCAAAGACCCGGAAAGGAATATCCACATGTTTCACTTGTTGCTCTCTAGTTGACCCTGCGCGTTGTGTACCAATAGTGAGATTGTATGCTACCTTCATCGAGCGTCCTTTGTGCGATGGGGGCAGACCACGGGGGATGGTAAAGCTGTATGTAAAGCTGCGACTTTCTCCAGGCGCGAGTTTCAAGTCCACAAACAAGATAGACTGTGGGGTAGAAATGAGAGGAACGGTCTTGGAGCTGGCAATGCCTCTCATCTCTCGGATACTTGATGGCTCTGAAGGGCCCAGGAATCCGCCTAGTGACTCTCCTATGCTGCCCCAACCTAGCGCACCGAAGAGACCGCTTTCGCGCTTCGTCTTCTCAACGCCCACAACTCCGCCTCCACCTTGACCACCCAATACGCCCTTCCTTTTCACTTCTTCAAAAGGCGCTTGGTTGATCAAGGACCCATCTAGTGTAAAGGTGCCCATTATCTGCGCGTAGCCCATCATGATAGATTCTGGCTGAGCCTGCTTGTTAGTCGGTACCAGGTGTGATGGCCGTCGCTGGTGCTGGGGCCGATGTAATAGTCGCGATGATGGATGAGCCGTGTATTCCGAAGCCATGGTCTCATTGGAATTGTTGCTCATCGAGTAGAACTCCCCACTACTACGCGGAGTTTCGATCATGCTTGACCCAGATATTATCCTGGCGACGGGCGAGAGAACCTCGAGGTTGGCACTGGTTGAAGGGCGATGGCTGTCGATGGGCGGCTGTGGGGAATTGCGCGGCGTATGTAGCGGCTTCTTCGTGGGACTGCCATTGAGTGGTGGATGTGAGGCGTCTTCCGGCGGCGGCGGTGCGGCGGGGAATTTGAAGTGCTTGGAGAAGGAGTTTGAGGGTTTCCTCCCGGGGGTTGGGAGAGCTGGGGTGCTTGGGGTAGTTGTTATACCCGGCCGTCTTCTGTTTTGATGCGCAGGAAAGGCGAAGTCGCTGGTGTCACGAGCGCTTGGCGAAGTTGCGTCGCCTGCGAGCGGAGAAGGGTGTGTGGCTGATCGGTGGCCGGGCAAGGTAACTGCTGTCGTGTCAGCCAAAGAAATATTGCAGTGGCAATCGTGGTGTCTGCAGTTGTCGTACTTGGATACGAATTCGGTCTTCCCGGCACGACCTGTAGACTGGCTGATCTCCCATGCCCTCTGGCTGGCCGTCTGATGGGTATACCTCTCTCGTGGCTGGCTTCGGTGGCGGCCTCTGTGCCTAGGGAGATGATGGACACGGATCTGCCATGCTTCTGCCCTCCCGTGCTGCTGTTGGCTTGGGCTGCGCTCGGCGTGGCAGGCGACTGGTGTCCCCCAGGCGTTGATGGCGTGTGAAGGGATAGCGCCGGTCGATGTCCGCGGGTATGAGCAGGTGGCAGCTGCGAGGTGAATGAAGACTTGCGGGACACAGAGGGCCTTGTCGACGAGTGAACTGGCGGAACGGGCAGCTTGCGTTGACGGTCCCCGCCCGTCGCAAAGCCGTTGTGTCGTGTAGCTGGGGTGCCATTGCGGCCTTCAGGCAGGGCTACATTCTTGAAGGTAATGGTACACTCGATATCTTCGCCGGCAAACACGGTAGAGTCCTTCCATTGTACGAATACCCGGATGTTGGATGCCGACATGGTCAGGAGCACGAGGGTGGGCGGCACGGGCTGCGGTCGTGTAGGCAGCTCATCGGGCGCGGCAGGCAAGCGGCATGACGGCTGCTGGCAATTGATCGTGGACGGCAGCAATGGCAGCGAGCAGCGAGCAGCAGTCGATAGTCGGCAGTCCGGGGAGAGATTGATATTGGGTTAACGTGAGCCAACAACAGCTTCCACGGCTTCGTCATGCCCGCGCCGGTCCAGGGTCTAGGCCCGTGCTCTCCTCGCCCTGGTGGTCCTTTGTCTCGAGCACCCACATCACTGCCATCAACATTACTCTTATACTCCAGTCACCGTGTATGCCTCTCTCCTGTCATTCAATATGAAACATGACGTTCTAGCATTACCTTGCTACCAGATGAACCATGGCCTGTCTGCACCAAACCACTTGATACAAAACAGCCAGCCTTGTCCTTGTTAATTCTGCTTGCACAGCTGTCCACAAATTCCTATCGGCGGATGAAACCATCTATGTTTATAGTCTTCAAAACCAATGCTCTTTCCTGTCAAGAAACCATCACGCAACCTACCCCACCATTCTCCGCACTTCATCCGTATCCCAGTCCAGACGCTCATCGTCGTAAGGAAGCTCATAATCGACTAGAACTTGCATAGTCTCCTTCACTTTCCCCTCTTCCGTTTTCTTCTTCTCTTCCTTTCTGCGCTGTTTTCTTCCTCCTCTTTTCCTCCTCTTCTTCTTTCTTTCTTGCTCTACTATTGTCTTCTCACTACCTTCTGTTGCATCTGCAGTGACCTCGGCATTGGAGGAAGACTGTTTGCTGCGCTCCCAGAACGCATGACAACCGCATACGCCATCTTGTGAGGGATTTTGAGGACAGGTGCGGGGGGCTCGTTTGCGCATGTGGAATGAGCGTATCGATGAGGGGCTGGGTTTGGGAGCAGTGTTGTATTGGAAGGATGTCTTGGAGCCAGTCTTCAATTTTGAGACAGTGGAGAAAGACGAAGGAGGAAGGTATGTTTTGTGTGGATTTGAAAGGCAGGTCCTGGTGATTGAGCCCGTCGATAACGATCAAGTATTTGCGCAAATCAGGGCAGGAGAAAAGAGAAGGTGAAGGTGAAATGAACGTGTAGTGATACACGTAATGCGCAACACACTCTCTGCAAGTTAGGAAAGGGCGGCATGGTGCAGTCCGTGCAGAGTAAACTGTCATATACTCTAATATGTATTTGCCTCATAGAAGCACCTCTTTCACATCTCACCACATCCTCCCAACAAAGTGCAAAGCAGTCTTGACCGAAACAATTGTCCCTACCGTCAGCACTCCAACTGCAACACCCAACGCCTTCAGGTTCCTCATTTCATTACTAAACCGCTGCTGCTTCCTCTCACCAATATCTCCCAAGTGAGTCAACGTATCGTACTGCGGGACATATTTGAAATCAAATGCCGTCTCCGTACCAGCCAACCCCCACTTTGACTTTACAGTCAGATTCCAGAAGATGTCCTTTGCACGCTCGATTCTCCTGCGGTCAGCATTGGGGAAGAGGCGGTAGGTGTAGCAGTAGAAGATGAAAAAGAGACACTGGCCCGCCATGAGAGACCAGTAGTACGCTGATACACGCTTCAAGCCAAGCCGGTCACACAGTGCGTTGCCATTGAGCCAACGGGCGCTAGCTGTCAGCATGTCTGCTGAAGAAAAGGTCGGTGGCTCTTCCTTAAGCGCGTAGATGATGTTGTTGGCCATGACCTTTGACATGTCGGACGGCTCGACTTCGTAGTAGAGAAGGGACTCCATAATGGCTTTTGCTCTGGTAGGAGTCGAAAGCCACTTGTCGGGCGTGCCCATGATATAACCAATATAGCGCCATAGCGCGAGATAGTCGTCGATCTCCTGTTGGCGGAGGATGATGCCCTGGCGTGGAAAACTGAGATAGATGAGTGTCGACGAGAAAGTACCAATTGTGGCTATTTGATCCAAATCGTTGATTGGTATGCCCCATTCGTCTACGTTGAAGTAGCTGGGCCGCTCGCGTACCAACTTCACGATGCGCTGCCGGACTGCAGCATGTAATAAGCGGACGCGGATCGATGAGGCAAAGCCTTCTCCACCGGGCTGTATGCCTTCCAACGTCCTTGTGCATTGTAGAATGTGTTGCGTCGTTTCGAATAGTCTTCCTCTTGCTACCTTTGTGCTGAAGCCTCCAGTTCGTGCCAATGTCTCGACGACTCGTGCAGCACCCATACCGCCTAACAGCGACTGATAGGTGAGGCCAGTTAGAGCGGGTCCTCCGTAACGATAGAAAACATCCTGTCCTCTGCCTATCTGTTCCCAGTCTACCCACTCCGGCACAGTATTTACTTGTCGCCACAGCTCCGCGAGTTTCGGGTCAGATTCGTGATGCTCCTCTAGTAGAGCATAGAGATCCCGCTTTGGTACGGGCAAGGGCTCTTTCTTTTCGTCTTCAGTGCCAGGCGTTGATGCCATCTGGGTCCTGGTGGTATCGTTTCTCGGCAAAGCACCCTTGTGCGGTGGCGATATGGCATTTAGGCGATCGAGACATTCTTCTGCAAGCACATCATACGAAAATTTCATGGGCTTCATTTGCTCTGGAGTAAGATGTTCAGGCGTCCATTCGAAACTATAACCCCAGCAACTGGTAACGGTTAGTCCGGGTCAGTGATAGTCTTCCGCTTCCAGACGTACTATCTAGTATTGGCTGTACGCCTCTGAAACAGGTTGGGCAACGCCATGAATGCGAAACAGAATGTAATAAACAAGCACGCGCTGCGATACTACCGCAAGAAACAGTGAGCGCAAGAGAAAGCAGAGTATGTATTCATACGGAAATGGAGGAACCATCATATGATACCGAGGCCCTAAACCCGCATGGGGGTGAGGGGTCCACATCCATGTCGCCGCTTGGCTCTTCAGTCATCGCTCTGACGGTCAAGAAATCGTAAATTCGAGGTGGTTTCCGAGATTTGACCGTTGCATCTAACCGTTGGACAGGGTCATTGATGTCACCATTTGGGGCAAGTCGCGGCTGATCATGAATCGTGCTAGCACTAGTCTGCCAGTGGCGGTAGACATTTAGTCCTGGGGCCCGTGCGAGAAAGTCGTCGATGCAAACAAGAGAGATTTCACATCTCCAATCTGGAACAACCATGAGCTGCCACAACTGCACACGACGGACGCTGAGCCTTTTTATACAATCATTCACCGATTTAAAGCCTGTTTTCCCTACTAGCCGACCACTCATCTGCCCCCAACCATCGCGATTCCGCTCAGATTTACGCCGACTGGAACAAATAGATCGGCCATTTTTGAGAAAAACAAAAGCGCAGCCCGATGTCGATGCCGAGGCCAAGGATGCTCTTACAGGAGAGCTTCAAACAAAGAACGAACGCCCTGCATGGCAGGTGCAAAAGGAAGCCATGAAAGAGAAACTGGGAGGCGAAGCATGGAACCCACGCAAAAAGCTGTCGCCCGATACTATGGAAGGCATACGTCATCTGAACAGCACGCAACCCGATAAATTCACCACCCCGGTCCTTGCCAATCACTTCAAAGTCTCTCCGGAAGCCATCCGCCGCATACTAAAGAGCAAATGGCGGCCCTCGGACGAAGAATACGAAGAGAGAATGGAGCGGTGGAATAAGCGCGGAGAGAGGATATGGTCCAACTTGGTAGAGATGGGAGTTAAGCCACCAAAGCGGTGGAGAGACATGGGCGTAGGTCGGGCACAGAATGGAGAGCTACCACGATGGAAGTCGAGATACCGGAACCAAGTACATGTCCAGGATAGTTATGGCGGGAATCGCGAAAACTATGAGCCGGACGAGGATATATTACCGACGGTGGGAAAATCGGACAAATCGAACCCGACGACTAGTAGTGTGCCGCTGTCACAGCGGTTATGAAGCGTCGGGATTGGCTGAAAGGGATGAGTTTTGGATACTCGAAAGGCAGATTACCTGGATTTGCAGCTATATTGGACCACTTATACCCTCCTATTTGACGAACATATAATGTACTCTTATTTTCTGGTTTCTCTTGAACTTCTTCTCTTTGAAGACTTTCAACATCTCCTATAAAGCTGCTTTGACGTCAACTTTCCAATGGCCGTCCAGAACTCATTAGAAACGCAACGATGCAGGAATGTTTTGATGGAGAGAAAGTCCCAGATCTATTCCCTTTTCAAGATCTTACTTGAGTCTAGTCGAATCGACTGGTATTTGTGGCACTGGCGCTAGGATGCTTGGACTCTTCTGAAAAGTTGCTTAACACCTTGAAAGCCTCGTAGCGAAACATCAAATATCACATACTCGGCCCCACCAATCGTCTTGGCCTCCTCACTAAGGTGGCCCAGAGAGGTAAACATGATCTGTTAAGGGGCTTTCCAGTACTCTGCCCTTTGAGTTTGAGAATTGCTGTGAACAAAACTGTTATCCTCTCACTCACACAAACGGTCCATATTGATTGTGGCTCCCGAGCCATATGTAGGATATGTTAGGACGGCTGGCAGGTACAGCGTCATATATAGCACCGTTGTCAGCGACGCCATGGTGGTAGTATTTATCTTGGGCGCTACGAGCTGGTGGAAAGGTGCTGCTGTTGCCTGACTTTGTGTGGCTTTGATGCAAGTAGAGAGTTGGCTGTGAAAACACGTGACACGAGAAGATGGAAATGCATGGTGATACAAACACAGCTGTGCAAGAGGATGCAGAAGCAAGGGTGGGGATGAGCACACGAGGTTAGTGCAAGGGGCTAGCCGGAAATGTTACGAAGATTTAGAGAAAGAAGAATGAGCTGCAAGGCTGAAAGTGCTGTGAGAATTCAGAGAAAGAAAGATGTGTGCAATGCTTAAGCACGTACGTACGGCACTAGACCCATTCCTGCCCGCCTAACTCCCCACTTGCTGTCGCAAACCCGGTGTCGCTGACGTACGTTGGGCCAATGGAAAGGACGCCTGTTATTAGCAATATATACTTACCATAGTTACACTTACAATTGCACGCTAATTCTCTCTATTCGCACATCCATGCTTTACAAGATGCAACAACAACTGCTTCTGCTTTGCACAGCAGGTGTGTGCGCTAATGGCAGCCGCGACCAGAGACCCTGCAATATCGATAACTTTCATTTGGTATCCGTACATTAGCAGCTACCACAGCCCCCCATCTAGTTTAATAGTCAGCGACGACACCATCGAACAGCTGCATGATTGGATTTCCATGCGAGTGTACATCGTGAATCGCCCCTCATCTGTGGGCCCAAGCTTTTGTGTCTTCTCCGCCAAGGTCTTGGACTTCTTGTCCGCCAAGAGGTCATGGTAAACTATATGAATGAAAGCTTCTTGTACTGGGGACACATACGATGGAAGGACACGCTCGAGCATCGATTTAGACCTACAAATCTTAAACGATTATACTGTACTCCCCACCAAAAATATCCTACAATGACGCCCATATATCTTTTTCTATTCCACCTCCTCACCATGACAGCCATTGTAAACGCCGCACCCATGACACCCAAAAACACTTCCGGATGGTCCAAAGAAGCTGTGTTAACACTAGCCGGTGTTTGTGTAGCCATCTTAGGAATCTTGGTCGGCCTGGTAATCTCACCTAGAGCGAGACGATGGCTATGTAGCCCATTTACATGTACGCAAGTGCACATCACTATTCCCTCCTCATCTTGCCTTGTTCCACATTCTAACACTTGCCGCCTACAGACTTTTCCCATCACAGACGCGCGACTGAGCGACGTCGACACCCGAATACAGGATACCAGTTACGAGATTACTACGAAGACTATATAAGATTCCTCGAGTTTATGGACTTGCGCACGCAAACGGAAAGGCATCGTTCGGAATGATGTTCAAGATGAAAACATCGATTGGGCCCTCCTTAATGTTCTACAACCACACGCATAACGGCTTACACTACACCATCTTCTCTTCTTCACTTACTGACTTAATAAAAAAACTTATTAGACTATTACGCATATAGTTTTCACGCTAACGTAACTATCCCACAATGAACTCTTTCACAAGTACCAACGCATGAACAACATTCTATACAGCTTACTCCAACTACCCCAACTACCACCCACCAATCACGCTCCATCCGCACTTCACCAGCCTAGCACCCCCACGATATCTAGTACTACACATATCTACCCTACTAACCACCCCACTACCCATACTCCAGCTATCCGTCCATCCAACCCCAGCAAGATCCTTACCGCACCGCCGCAACAAATCATAACACACCCTACACCCTACACTTTATTACGCACAAGTAGCACCCCTAAATCAACACCAGAGAAGTACACATAGTCACACTATACCATCCTCACAGCCCATCTCCCCAAACCAAGGCCAACGCGCAAGACCAGCCTGAGTTGAAGAAAGTGAATACCCAAACCAAGAGTAAAATGACGGGCAGAGTATCAAGATATGTACAAGTGTAGGATAGAGGGAGATAGAAGGGAAGAGTGTGCACTTGAAGAGAATAGGGGTGGTAAAGTCAAGATATTCTTGTTGCTTTGGTAGTTATGCATATGGAGAAAATACCCTGTAGGGTTACGATATTGTATCGATCTGATTGATTGAATGTGTAAGAGCCTACGAAATGCTATGTATTATGTACTATATATTAAGGAGTGTGATGTGCTCGTATACGAACATGGTGTTGAAATATTCCACTCAACTGTGTTTTTTTTTCAGCACCGTACTGTAATCTTGAAAAGTATGAGCATGCGAGACGCATTTCACGCAGCATACTTGACTGAATTCATGCCAGCATTTTGTGCAGGTAAGGTGGGGAAATCCACTCAAGACCCTTTTTTTTTTAAAAAAAAAAAGCTACTCGCAAGGCTTGTACGTCTGAATGTTTGCAATGCCATTGGGCCAGGCCTTGCATGCGTCGGTTGCCTTGACCCATTTGGTACCAATGGTATGTTTTCCTGCAAAGGGGAATATAATTAGCTTTGGCGAATCTTCAGGCTGGGATATAAGATGAACGGAGGAGAGCGTCGTCAAAAGAAAACGACTTGCAAAAAAGGAAAGAAAAACTTACCTCGCGGAAGAGTAAAATACGCAAAATCTGCACCTTCCTTCATACACTTTTCTACAGCGTCGCACTTGTAGTTATCGCGGGGTCCTTCTCCCGACGTCTCTCCCACCAACACACCATCAATGTATACCTCAAACCGCTCGCACCTATTGGAACCATCAGCCACGAGGAGAATGCTGTCCTCGGGGTTGTCGATGGGGATGGATCCAATCGCGGAATCCTGTACCGTACCCGCTGTACGGCGCACATTAATGTGTTGCCAGGGCATAAGCACCTCGCCCGTACAGGGTTTGGTCGCGAGGCGTTGTGGGCTGGAAAAGTCCAATGGATCTGAACCGGTGTTGAGTGAGGACTCGGGTTTCTGGTAGACGGCTCCGCTGCCACACGTGCAGGAGCACATACCGTTGGGTGTGTCGCAGGTTAGGGATGGTACATAGCCTGTTTGGGGTTAACGTATTGTTGATGATACTTGATGTGTGCAAGAGAGAGGAAAGAGAGTGGAGGTGTGTGTGTATATACTTACCAGTTCCGCATGTTATCGGCATGCCATCGTTAAGGGTGGATCCGAATTGGGCAGCTACGAGGCTGCTGGAGATGATCTGGAGGAACAGTGATAGCTGCATGGTGACTGGATTTCTTTCGAGACTGGTGATGAGTAAGTTGTATGAGAAGTGAGGAGTGGAGTTTGTTATAATGATCTTCTGTTTCTGACAGAAGCTTTTATATATTTGTACAACTTGAATAAAATTTTCTCGGATCCCCTCTTTTCTAATCCCATTACCTTAACCTGGTTAGCTGTTCTAGTCGAGTGGGCAGTACCAGGTGAGTTGTGCGTGAGTGAAAAAAAGTAAGTATAGGAAGGAGCACTTGGGGACCAACACACCGTTGCCCAGAGGTAGCTTATGTAATAGATGCTATCTATCTCATGCTATCAATTTTGAGCAAAGCCATCTCCTATAGTATCTTCTTCAAGGAAATATATTGCTTCACTACTGGTATACATGTGCAGCAAATGCTATACACAAGTAGGGAGGTTGGTGTTGTGACAACGATGTTACGACTTGTATTTTAGCTTATACAATAGTCACGCCGTTGCGCACGTTGTTTTACTTTTATACATGCAAGGTGCTTGGGGGTACATGGTAATTATTGGAATACCATAGAATCTCACATAGCTTTCTACAAACGTGGACCCTAGCGCTTTCCTTCTACGATAAAAAACGAAAAAAAAAGAGTCACATGAACTTGCTTTCTTATGTCCTCAATGACACGTATATTCTCTTTGATCAACAGACGGTTCCAGACGCAGTGATGGAAAGACGCTAAAGCACATGTCGATCTTTCATGCATTATAAATTCCGGCCCGGCATGCACCAATGTAAAAAGTACAAACTAGTACGTGTATGAAGTAAAAATGTATTCTTTCGCGTATGCACGTCATGAGAAGAAACCAAAAAGGCTCTCACAGAAACTTCATAATCCAAAAATAGCTTGGGTGGCATACCACTACGAAATCACGACAGACTTAGTTTATCCAACAGTCGGCTTTCTCGCTAGCTATTCTTCTTCTTCTTCATACAAATAATGAAGGAATGAATCTTCATACAAATAATGAAGGAATGAAGTTGGTTGAATGCATTCTCTTCTGGTATCTCGAAAACATAGCAGCTACTGCATCAAAATATACAAAGGTTCCGAGCCCAACATCTACTGGTGCAATTTCGGCCAAAAGTTTTCCCACCAAAGTCATTCACGTTCCATAGACGCCATTGACGAAAGGAAAAAAAAACAGGAGACTCGTCGCAATAATAAGACAACTTTGTGGGTATATATCGTAACTTCATCAATTCTTGTTTTAGACATTGCGTACATCTAGTAGCGGCGCGAGTCGTAGCCTCTGTTGTCATATCCGTTGCTTCCGTTTCGTGCTCGATATTCGTCATCAGGGTAGGGAGGCCGTGAAGAAGCGTCGAAAGAGCCGTCCATGCCAGAGGTACCGCTACGGCGTCGGTTTTGCTTCTTACTATCGAAATCCTTATTGAAGCGACGAGCCTCGTCTTCATACATGTTTGACCCGTAACAAGTGTTTGGAATGTCACGGACGTTTGAATCCGACTGCGTGCCATAGTTGGAGAAACTCGGGCTTCGTTGTCGGGTATTTGTTGAGGTTGTGCGAGCGTGGTGGGGCGGTTGGTAGGAATTGTCGTTGGGTGGAGATGGCCATGGAGCTTGGCCTGCATTTGATTGCGCACGTCTGCGCCTATCATTCGTTGCAGTGTCAGAGTGGGTGCTTGAGCTCATGTCATCGTATGACTTGCCACCACCTGGAGCTGCCGAGTATGGTTTGCGCTCTCGCTCAATGGGTACTGATGTAGGCATGGACTTGTCGTCAATGTCCATGGGCCTTATTTCTGGCTTAGAAGTATACGGACTCCGCTCTCGTTCAAGTTTCGGCCCATTCGAAGGGAGATCTTGAGTTTTTGGAGGCGGTGGTGGGAATGTTGGGGCTTTTCGGAGTGGTCCGACGCCCTCCGAGGAAAGAGCAGCAGCGCATCGTTGCTGCGCGTGAAGATTCTCGGCGGTAGGAAACATTCTGCGAGGAAGTTCCTTGGGAAATCGTTCCTTTCTATCATCTGCATTGCTGATAGGCATGTCGAGAATAGCTTTGGTCAGCCGCTCGTACTCGGTATCGGGATATGCCTGGATCATAGCAGTCATCCATTCTTGAAAACCGTCGGGGGTGAGGGCCGGAATGTACGGTTGCTCTGCAGGGTGTTGTTGGATAAGATGATGTTGGCATCGCATGTCCCGGTAAATCTTGGATAGAGAAGAATACGATATTTTGCCGAATATTGTTTGCCATGGATAAATTTCGTCCTTGACGTTAACTTGTTCATAAAACCTAAGCATCTTGGCAGGGGAAATGACCAGACTATTTTTTGGTTCGTAGTCTTCAATCTGTACGGATATTAGCCCAGGGTATCTCCGCGGACAGCCAGGGTACTCGCCAGGTGCAGTGCTAGACCTCTCAGGAGTTGGCCTAGGCGGGGCAGGGGTTGGCCATCAGAGTCGAACAAGCGCTGCCACATCTTCTCAATAGGGGTGTAGTCTTCAGTTGCCATTCTAGGCGCAGCAGGCGGCCGGGTGGGCGGGCGTTCTCGCTCCATGGGGACAGTACGGTCGAACCGTGCAGTGGGCGTATCGTGGTTAATATCTGGTAGTGGATCGGTGTGCAAGGGGCCTCGGTCTGGGGAGTGATGGTGGGCAAAATCGCTGCGCTTGGGGGATGGAGGAGTGTAGACGTCGCGGGGTGGGATAGAATTGGAAGTCGAGGCGGGGGAAGGTGGAACCCATTGCTGCGGCGAGACAGGTACAGGCTGGGGCAGCGTCGTACCAGCCATGGCACCTGACTTGATCTCATCCAGAACCGATTTCTTCACCTCGGCCGTGATTTGAGCGATGAGATTGGGGTCGACGACGCGGGCTGCGTCGGATTTTTCAAAAGCATTACCAATGGCATTCTTCAGCGGCTGCTGAATGGGCTGGGAGGCAGGGTCGAAAGTACGGCGGTCCCAGGCAGGGCTCGTGTCACGAGGCTGATAGTCGGGAGCATTTGATCTTCCACGGGACCTGGTTCTGGGGGCATAGTCTGGGCTTCTTCCGCGGTGAGAGTGCTGTTTGTCAGAGGACGAGGGGTAGGAGTCGTAGGCGGAATCAGGGTGGTCGCGATAGGCCATGGTTCCTGTGGGTGCAAGATGAGGTTGGGTAGTGCAGGCGTCTTGTGTGGATGGCGGGTTGCGGAACGCCGCGCGAACAGGTGAAAGAGCTATAGCAGAGTTGCCATGTACAGGCGAAAATGGCAGATTGGTAGAGAAGATGACAAAGGACGAGTGGGGAAATGAGGCGACAGGCAGAAGGCAGTGGAAGCAAACACGGCAGAGCCTGAGTGGAGTTTGGGCGTTGGGTTGTATACTACAAAGCAGCGGTATCCCAGGCACCGCGTCAGCAGTCACGAAGGACAAGAAGCCCGACCGAACGAGGGCTCTGAGTTAGGGCTTTTGCCATTAGATAGGGCAGAGTGGCAGCGGGGGCCATTATCTTGGTTGGAAGCAGCCGCCGTGAGGGGCTTGGGGCTTGACGGGCGGGCGGGAGAGGTGGTGTGGCTTGCGTCATAATAAGCAGAACGTCATGGCAGTGTGTTTTTGCAAGAAAGTCCCAGTGTGGTCAAGTCAAGTCGAGTCGAGCCGAGCTGGGAACACCAGGAGATTGTCAGGATTGCCGGGATTGTCAGGAGTCAGGAGCACGGCTCCAGACAGCGGCAGTAGTAGTGTAGCAGCAGCAGCATGATGGCGACGACGACGACGGAGAGCCGGCGATTGCCAGTTTTGTTTGTTTGGTTTTGTAGTGGGCAGCTGGTTGCAAAGGGCGTCAATGACGCGGCGTGGGAGGGCTCGTTTTGGCTGTCGTTGTGTTTCAACTGTGGCCGTGTGCCAGTGGCTGGCTTTTGCGCGCCCGGGGGTAGGCATGACATGCATGTCCGCTCACTTATGAGAAACAAAGCAGACGGTAGACCAAACAAGCGACGACGGACGGCATGAACATGGGCCATTTACCAGTGACGATTGTTATTTCGCAGTGCCGTGTGTTGTTGTTTACCAGAGACATGGGGGCAGGTACATGTCGCAAATATGCATGTGTAGGTATACGCTGTATACTTACGGCAGAAACACGGCCCAGACCTTCGCAGCAGAGCAGGCAAATTAAAACAAAAGCACCGTCAGCGACGCAATAGGCTACGCGCCCGTCAGCAGCGCCACGGCCAACGGCTGCAAGTCAGTGTGAGTGCAGTAAGTATGTCGAGTAGTGAGTAGTGGTACATGGTGGTTCGGCCCCGAAGATACGAGTTGACATTGTGTGGGACGGGTGCGGCTGTGGCCCCAGGTGCAGGGCAAGGCAGGTACGTGCGGCGGTCACGGGATCGGCACTCAGCCCACCCACACCCACACCCCAGAAGCTGGAGTGTGTACCTCCACTAGATGAGATGAGATGAGATGAGCAGAAAGGAGAGGCCCTCATATCACTGCTATTCTGAGCCGCAGCCCTGCATTGCAATCAGCTCCTAAACGGCCCACGGCAAATTACCTTCCTAGACCACACCGTATCCACCGCTCTTCGCTGCTCGGCTCCCGGCCTTTCTGCCCGTGTCTGCCCTTCTGCCTGACCAGTATGCCTGCTTGCCGCGGGCCACCGGCTCCGCCCTGCTACTGGTAGCGGTAGTGGTAGCTTGTTATCATGTGTTGCCTGTGTCGGAGTGTGTAGTGTAGTGTAGTGTAGTGTAGTGTAGTGTAGTGTAGTGTAGTGTAGTGTAGTGTAGTGTAGTGTAGTGTAGTGTAGTAGTAGACGCAGGGCTCCTCTCTACAAGCGCCTGCCCGCCACCCCGACCTTCGTCTTCATCACCTCCTCCACTGCTGCCGCCGCCGCCACATCCATCATCACCACCAGACCCGGCACGCCCGTCGTCTCGCCCGGGCAAACTGATTTCCAGCGACAATTGCCGTCTGGCCTGCAACGTCTGCCAGAGGCAATGCGCTGGACACGCCCCATGGCTGCAGCAGCGCCAGCTCGGGCCTATCCGATTTGCTGATAGGCGCACGGTCCCGTCTCACTAACGTTTCACTTCGTACGCTGGCCAGCACCGGTGCCAAAAGCTGTCTCCGTGCTCGCGCGACCGCTCCATTCCACAAAGACCGTCGGGGCTGCCAGGTCGAGTGTTTCGAGCCCGTGTCTTGTTTCCTGAGCCCTTCTCCCATCCACGCGCAGCAGCAGCCATCCTGGCACCCCGCCCGCCCGCCGCCGCAATAAAGACACCCGATACGCCCTTTTCCCCCCTCGAGTGCACAAAGACGACGCCAGTCCACAACCGCCTACATATACACACCCTCCCACCCTAACCGCACTCACCCACCACACTACACACCCGTCATCCTACCACGCGTACCGTCCCCACCATGCATATATGAGATAGAGTAGTAGATAGCGCAACACGACCGAACCGCCGACCGACCGACTTGCTAATTACCACCCCACGTACCACTGCTTCTCGACCCCCTCCACGACACGCTATGGCCATGCTCGCCTCAAAGGCCCCGTACCCAGCGCCTTCCGTCAGCGGAGGTGCTTCTCAGTCTTCGGCCCAGTATAACGCTAGCCTCAACACCTACCGGACGCATGCCTCCGCCACCCGCGCCGACCAAAGCATGTTTGCCTCGCCTACTGAGTCTGAGTTTTCTGAAATCTACGATGCTCCCGATGCCATCAAGTGAGCCGCCTGCTCCTTCACCCTCCAAAAAAACCACCCCAGCTAACATGTCTAGACATTGGGACGAGGACAAGGTTGGTGACTGGCTAAAGCGCATCAACTGTGCCCAGTATGTCGAGCTTTTCAAGCGTGCGTCGCTACTCCTCCCAACCCACTAATTCACCGCTGACATTTCCCCACAGTCAACCACATCAATGGCGAGAACTTGATGGAGATGGACCAGACCCATCTCAAGGACATGGGCATCAAGAAAGTCGGCGACCGCGTTCGCATCGGCTCACAAGCAAAGCAGCTTCGCAACAAGGAGTACAAGAAGGCTTCTCGACGCACCTCCAACAGGCAATCGCTCGCTACCCTGGACAATGCCGCATACACACCTCCCTCATCCGGCTCTCCGCGTCCTCTGCACTCGGCACGATCAAATCCCCCTTTGTCCAACCCCATAAGTTCACGGACGGAGAAGCGCATGTCAAGGCAAATCACGAACTCGGACCTCAGCAGCTACGCATACGGCTCAAAGTCGCCCTCCCGTCCCGGTTCTCCTCTTGTTGACCAAGAGACGCGTAACCTGCGGGCACAACGCCAGGGGGGCCTGAACAGCCCCAAGGAAGGAGGCAACAAGACATACGGCGCCCATCCCCTCAGTGCTTCGAGCAGCTCTGTCAACATAGCTCCCCCGCTCGTACGGAACCAAAGGAGTACACCTACAGAGACACCCCAAACGGCTCGCTTCGCCCATCATGTTCGAGCAAGCCCCAGCATGGACAGCGCTACCAACAGCGCCATCCTGCCCCACGACAAGGCTCTCGTGCGTGTCATCTACGATGGTGGACGCACTTCAGTTGTCAACATCGAAGGCTGCAAAACTGCCGACGAGGTCATGCTCAAGACACTAACAAAAGGACATCTTAACACGGCACACGTCAAGAACTACTGCTTCTACATTCTCAACAGCTCCGATCCCGACCCGTCCCTATCGGAGCGCTTGAGCGATATCGAGCTTTTCAGACTGGTAAAGGACGCAAACCGACACGAACGCGGCCGGTTAATTCTCCGCAAGGTCCACGCAGGCGAGCCTGATGAGGATCAACTCAAGGCTGCTGCTGGCATCTACCAACAACAAAACTACCAACAACCACACGGCGTCTACGTACCCGCCAGCAACCGCAGTCAAAACAAGATTGAAAAGCTGACAGGCGAATCCCTTGCCGCTGTTAGCTACCCTCTATCACCGACTTCGGCCAGAGAACGAGAACGCCATATCAACTCGACAGCTCAGAACCTCGAAGGGCCTGCCGAGGCCTCGCGGTCACCTTACTTCCAAGCACGCGCGCGCAAGCTCAAGCAGTTCTACGGTGCTCGCCCACCCAGCGAGCTCATTACTTCCGACCTTACTTCTTACTTTCCTGATGTCGGTAAAGACGAGATCGACAAGACCGTTCGCATGTCGATACGCCGATCACATCGCCTCAGCCGGGCGGCATCCCGACTATCGATGGCGTCTAATTTTAGCGTTGCCTCTAGCTTGAAAGACGCTCCACCACTGCCGTCCATCGCCGACAGCTGGCTCCAAGGAGGCGCACAGGCCCGCCCCCTTCGACCCTTATCCGTCATGCGCCTCGGATTGCCTCATCAAAGTGGGTACCGAGACTCCTTGGCGTCTTCTGTCCTCGAGCCACTCGACGAAGAGTCGCCTCTGGAACCAAATCGCAAGTCTTATGTATCGTTTGGCGGCGACAGTGTCGCAGACAGCTTAGCTATTACCGACCCGGATGGCAACACAACCCTTCAATCTTACTTTGACGATGCCGGCAGCAGTCTTGCCGGCAGCAGCAGTAGCAACACGGAAAATGGTGACTCGCTCAACAAACGCCTGTCGGAAGCCCTGGCCGAAGATGGCGAAGAGTCCGACGACGAACTGGCAGAGTACCTGGAGCAAGACTCTTGGGATAACGTCAAGTACATGAAGGGTGCCCTCATCGGACAAGGTTCCTTTGGAAGTGTATATCTTGCACTGCACGCCGTTACCGGTGAGCTCATGGCTGTTAAGCAGGTTGAGCTTCCATCTGTAGCTGGTGCTTCTCAGATGGATCACAAGAAGACGAACATGGTCGAAGCTCTGAAACACGAGATTGGCCTTCTTCGCGAGCTCAAGCACAAGAACATTGTGCAATACCTGGGTTCCAACTCGGACGACAGCCATCTCAACATTTTCCTCGAATACGTCCCTGGTGGCTCTGTAGCAACCATGCTAATCAACTATGGTCCTCTTGGCGAGTCTCTTATCCAAAACTTTGTTCGCCAGATTCTCACTGGTCTTTCTTACCTTCACTCACGGGATATTATTCACCGAGACATCAAGGGTGCCAACATTCTCGTTGACAACAAGGGCTCCGTCAAGATTTCGGATTTCGGTATTTCCAAGCGTATCGAGGCCTCCACCTTGGGCGGTGGAAAGAAGGGAGCTCAGCGCGTTTCGCTTCAAGGCTCTGTCTTCTGGATGGCCCCTGAGGTTGTTCGACAGACGGCGTACACCCGCAAGGCCGACATTTGGTCACTTGGCTGCTTAGTTGTGGAGATGTTTACTGGAAGTCATCCCCATCCCAACTGCACGCAGTTGCAAGCCATCTTCAAGATTGGTGGAAGCGGCGATGCCAGCCCAACCATTCCTGATAACGCCGGCGAGGATGCTAGGAGGTTCCTAGCCGACACTTTCCTCATAGACCACGAGAAGCGTCCCAGTGCAGACGATCTTCTTGCCAGCTCCTTCATTACCAACCAAGTGGCGTAAACTTTTCAAACATGGCGCAAACACTCATTTCTAGCACGGGAAAAAAGTTGCATCATTTTTTTCATGGTGCAAGGTGTTTGGCAGTCTTTCTTTCGTTCATTATTACCCATTTCCAGCCTTACATCTTTTACTTTCTAACGCCCTATAACGCTTCTATGCGCGAGATGATTCTGTACTATACCACTTTTAAAAGATGCTTATTCTTCCTTTAATACATGGAAAGAAGGAGTTTGATCCAATTGGGCATATTCTATATGCTGGCTAGCTTAGCTTTTAATGGAATCATTAGACAGTGTCAGTGGGTTTTGGTTTTCCAAACAAAAGACTGTCTGTAGGATGTTTTATATCTGAACTTTATCCCTCTGTCTAAATGTGTGTGCATGTGCATATGTGTCTTGATATCAAATGTTCTGTCAGTTCATACACTCGACCTGTTTTGTAGTCAAACCTTGTCTCTTATCTTGGTGCTTGTGGTAGGACAAAAAGCTAAGCAGGTAGATTCGCAACTAGTCTGTCGCATCTTCCTATTCACCATTTGAAATACCTACGTCATACCTCCACTTTACTCCAACCTACCTCGCTTCTTGCATCCCCCATTTGCTTACACTAACAAGTAAGCTTAAATCGTGAGACACCCATCCTCGGCAAACCTCGCCACTCACTATTCAAATCAAGATTCGCAAAATCAGCGAGCAAGCTACCAAGAAGGGACTCCGGAATCCGACCCTCCTCTTTGATGCCACAAACGCCAGACGCGTGTATTTCCCTCCATATCCCTTGACTATATTTGCCTATGTCGTTCAACCCCACCCCACCCTACTAATCCCTATAGCAACGTTTCACATAAACCACACGTATACGTACAGTATCTACGCAACGCCCATGACGTAACTCTACGGTTAAACCCTAGTGTTGAACCCTTTTTTTTCCAACTGCAACGGAAATCCACTACTAGCATAACTTTCCTAACCTTTGAGGGTTTTTCCCCGCTTCGCGCTTGATTCGCATGTGCATGTCCGAATCCCGAACCTACCGTATGCGTACCTACTACTTTTGCTTTAGTCCTACCATGTGCTACCACAGTTTTGGTGCGGAGTGCATGGCGTCCGGCATAGGCGGGTGCGGGGTAAGCATGAGGTGTATGGCGGACGAGCTACGGGTCTAAGCAGTAGGATGGGGATATGGTGGGACCCTTGAGGAGGTTAGTAGTACTAGGCTAGGTGGAGGGGAGTGGGGTACTGGGGGTGGACCTCGGCTTTTGGCGTTGATGTTTTTTTTGAGGGGAGTTTGGCTGGCTTGCCTTTTTTTTCCTTCTTCAGGTTTTAAAGATGTGTTGGGAGATGTTGTGTAAGATCGAGATGGGGAGGATTGGATTGATTACTGGCTGGGCCTGGGTTTGTTGGGAGTAGTAGTTTGGATTGGAGGGAGGAGCGAGCGAGCGACCAAGTGGTGGTGTGTAAGCATATACAGTATGTAGGTCGAGTAATACGAACTGAGTGAGGTTCGGTGAGTATGTATGATGAAGTGCGGGGAAGGGAGTGGAGACGGGTAATGTTGAGGAGAGGACATGTATAAAAGATATAGTATTAAATTGAGACAACCTTTCTTTTTTAAATTCAAGGTTTCTGCTTAGATTCTGGGTGCTTTGCTTGATCAAGGACGCTTAACGTTTTACCTTTTTTTTTTCTCACGTCTTCGAGATAACTGTCAACTTCAAGATCCACCTCTCAAATACATTTCCTTTGCGATAGTAAATAAACATCAACACAAGGGGATAAAACAGCGCCACCACAACTCAAAATGACGACCCCCTCCCTCCCGTCCAAATACAAAGCCGTCATCTATGACAAGCCAGGTACAATCTCCACGGCAGTAACCATGCTCGACATGCCTTCACCCGGGCAAGGCGAAGTCCTCGTCAAGTTGACGCACTCGGGCGTATGTCACTCTGATATCGGCGTCATGACGAACTCGTGGAAGTCACTGCCGTTTAGCACGCAAGCGGGGCAAGTGGGTGGACACGAGGGCGTGGGAACGATTGTGCAGATGGGGCCCGGAACGGATAATGCTAGTGTTAAACTGGGGCAAAGAGTAGGGATCAAGTGGGTTGCTGGTATATGCGAAGCGTGTGAGGCCTGCAGGGCGGGTTTTGATGTTTGTTGCTTCAATGCGGTAAGTTTTGATCTATTTCCTTAACTTGCCTTTACCCATTTCTGGCGCGTTCCTGGAGGACATGAAGGATTGAATAAGCCGGGAACCCTTTTGCTTACTGACTTGTTCGGACAGAAAGTCTCGGGATACTACACCCCAGGGACCTTTCAGCAGTACACCCTCGCCCCCGCAAATTACGTCACACCTATTCCCGATGAACTCGCTTCTGACGCCGCCGCGCCGCTACTCTGCGCCGGCGTGACCGTATACTCAGCACTGCGCAAGACGAATGCAGAGTCCGGAAATTGGGTCGTGATTTCCGGTGCCGGGGGCGGACTGGGCCATCTCGCAGTGCAGTTCAGTGCGCGGGGCATCGGTCACCGCGTCATTGGCGTGGATCACAGCAGCAAGAAAGACTTCGTTATGGAAAACGGAGCCGAGCACTTTATTGCTGTAGACGGCGCCCAGGATATTGTCGACACTGTGAAATCGCTGACCAATGGACTTGGCGCTCACGCTGTCGTCGTCTGCGCTGGTAACAACGCCGCGTATGCACAGTCAGCAGAAATGCTGCGATTCGGCGGCCGTGTTGTCTGCGTCGGTGTTCCAGAGGGAGAGTGTATGCCGATTAAGAGTGTGACACCTAACCTGCTGGTCGCCAAGTCGGCGCAGGTTGTAGGGTCAGCAGTAGGGAACAGGAAGGAGGCGATTGAGACTATGGAATTCGCGGCTAGGGGTATCATCAAGTCGCATTTCAGAATTGAGAAGATGGACAAGTTGACAGATATTTTCAAGGAGATGCAAGAAGGCAAGCTGCAGGGCAGGGTTGTGCTGGATTTGCAGGATTAGAAGGTGGCTGGAGACTGCTGATGGTATACTATGTTGTAGACGTAAGTTTGACACTCAGTTGAAGCTGAACTCGATGCTGTAGCGTGTAATCAAATACCATGAAATAATCATTGCTAGGTCGTTCGCAGTGATATCTCTAACCTGTGGCTCGGTCACGGAATGAGTCTTCCATTTGTTCGATATTAAGGAGCTCATATTCTGAGCTGTCTTCCAGACTCTGAAAATAGGACTCATATTTATCGCATTGTAATCTGCACAGATACTCATCTATTTGTAGGATATTGCGTGATGAAATCAAATAGTCACAGCTCCGGCTGGTAGTACGGGTAACAGCAATAAAATAAGAACAAGGTTTACAAAGACCTCTGTTCGTTCGTCAGCAGCTGGGACTACGGCAAGTACTAGATACACTATGCCTAAATGGGCCGCCTCAGTCTATAGTGGACTGGACTTGCCCAGTCCTATCATTCAGGTCTGACAAAGTGTGGGGAGGATGCCTGCACTTGTTTTCTTTTGCTGCAATGACAAATTCTGTGTGTACATGGAGAGGTTGTGCTTGGCGAATCCACATTCGATTCACATCGGCGGACTACAGGTAGAACACACAGATCTTCTACGGTAGTATTGCGGTGTATTTGTGTTGGGTAAGCTGCTACGGTTGTATCTAGCCATTCAGAGCACACGTAAGCCGGTACCGGTCCATTCCACTGGCCGAGGACTAAATGTCCGAATTGGATCTTGCAAGACTACCAGCTGCAGGTCGACGTATGGCGCGAAATATGCGCCTTACATATGTACAACAAAGATCGAGTGCATAAATGTCTCACAAAACAGCGGATGTGGCCTCTTCGCACTGATCAGGATGCTCTTCGCGATTGAATGTATTGGTCAGATCGTTCAAGTAGCAAGGTTTCTTTTACAATGCGAACCCCTAGGAGGTGTTTCAATGGTATATGTAAAACGATGGAACAGACACGGCCAGTAGCACTGTTGAGCTTCTGGGCTCTGCATCTCAGTGTAGAGCTTCGAGAGCTTCTGCAGTACCAACAGTTGGCATTTGTCAGTGTACAACCGATGTCTTCTCCAGCGAGGAGATAACGGGTTAGGCGATTGCTGAAAAAATGTCACAAGAAACACATGAGTGCACTAAGTCTAAGATCCTTGAATATTTCCACCATTGATATGAACGGTAAGTCTGAGCACCTTTCGCGAACTTTACTCAATCTGTCAATCTATACTTGAGGTAGACAAGGAACAAAATACATATACGTGTTTCATGTTGCAAAGCTAACTGTGCTATCTTGAATCATTCTGCGCTAGTTATGCTAGTCTGACGTGCTTGCTGGAATGCTGCCGATTTCAGTGTTGTTGACAATATTGCATCGCTCTCGTCTAGTCGGCACGACGACTCAAACGGCATACTACTCTTTGATGCTCTTCGAAATAACGGCTGTGTTTGACGAAACCAGCAGTATTTTCTCTAGCCGGCATTCAAAACCTCACTTCAAGGAACCATTGTTCCATTGTGCTGGGAAAAGCTTGGCTCTCTTGGATAGTCGCGCACCTCCGATTCTGGCATGCTAGTTTGTCGATTTAGTCATGGAAACCGGGAAGGATCCACAGCAACGAAGAATACGGCAAGATGTTGATGAGATACGCCGAGTACGAAACGTGCCATGCCATGTTCGTCACTGCTAGCGCTCAATGTAGAGAGGTATTTTCCCCATGTTTGCTCGAATACCCTACTTTCTTATCAGGGGTCAAGCTGCTGGCGAATGAAGGTCTGAAGATGATTCCACGTGTGGAAATGAACAAGGGGAAATTGTGCATATCCATCTTAGGATTTGTGAATCAAAGCGCCCTGAGTACTGTGGAGTTGCACACCTCCTCACTTGATAGGGGCCTTTTACTTATCAGGTTCACTAGGAATTTCTGGAATGCATTTAACCGGATCTGCGAGGCCTTGGTTGAAAATCGGGATTTTAGCAGTTCAGGCCGCCGATTGCATCGGCGAGGTTGTTTTTCGCTCAAGCTTTTGCTTAATGTCAATTCAATGAGCGTTGCTAACAGGACACCCTACCAGCGACATTTCACCGGGTGAGTTACCTGAAATCGCGCAGTCTAGTCACTACACATGAGCATATCAACAACGTTGATTTTTAAACCTGCGCTAGATCATTCTACCCACCGACAAGAAAGTCACGATGCCGTCTCGGCTCTAATACTACGACGGCCCGAAGTGGCTCCATATCTGGCACGGCCGTAGCAAAAACGTTCTACAAAGCCAAGTGATGTTTCCATACCAAAGGGTTCGTATGCGAGGCAAGTGACGTTGGATTTGAGAATGTGAAACAACCGGGTGTTATGTGCCCTCTAAGGCTTACATGGAGTCTGCAGTATACATTTATAGGACAATCGGGATGGCGCAGCAGCATGATGCCAAGTCTAGTCTTATCTCAACTTCTGGGGCACCAATTTAGCGCAGCACTGCCATGCACGACACATAGCGCGATCCTTGCCGGCGCCAGATGACGGAAACTGACGAACCACACCAGTCATGCATGAATCTGAATCTGAATCTTTGCGATTCAGGGAAAGTTGACAGTAATGGACCTTCGGATTGTGTGAACTTCCTCGTATTGAGGATTTCGATTGTATGCAATAGATTGCTCATCATGTCGAATGGAAACAAGTGTGTGCCTTACCCGCTCGTGGACCTTGGTGATGTACCCAGAAAAGTTGGTTGCGGGCTCATCTCACCTCAGCTCTGGCCACGCCGTGCGATGCATGGTCTGTCCGAAGCCCCACCATAGTTACCGTTGCTCGGCCCCAGACGTGTCCAGTGGCGCCTCAATGGAGTCATTGCTATTTTGACTTGGGGCAGTAATAGTATACAGGCCATGCCCTGCCACCATGGGCAAACTGTATATTCCGCCGCGCTCCGAAAGGGCGACTGCTTTAAGAATTTCTGTTTCTCTACTAGTACTGAACGTTTCACCCCCTGCCTCTCTGCATTACAACCCATCACACTACCCTACCCCGTGTCATCAATCTGCGAATGCCACGCCTGTCGAGGCGCACTTAAAAGGAGGATGTTGTTGTTGCTCAGAGGTAAAAACTCAAAGTCAACTACGACTTTACGGGCAGTCCCAGCAAATCCCGAAAACGAAAAAGATGTACACTCGGAGGCGCGGGAATTAGTAATACCAAAGCATCTGTTCACTGATGATATCAAGTCGCCTTCGTCGGTAACTACTGGCACAGCTTCTCCAACAAAGTCCATAACCATATGGCGCAAGAAGCACACGGCGAAGCCAACAGGAACCAAACGCGCTTCCAAAAAGTCGAAATCATTCGATAGTCAGGCCTCGATAATCGGAACATACAAAGACGGCAAGATTCAATGGCAGCGAAGAGGTGAGGTTGTTACTCTCGACAGCAACAAGAATACCAAAGGCGCAAACGGACAGGAGAATTCTAAGATGCCTGTAACAATCCCCAGCGGGAGATGCAACCAGCCACTTCCGCCACTCCCGTCCTTCGAAGCCACTTTTGGTGAGCTGAGAAGCAGATACTCTATTTCGCCCCCATTAGCAGGCGACAAGTGCAGGTGGGCCCAGTCGCAGGCGCCGCTTACTTCACAGTACTCAAAACAAATGACTAGTCGAACTTCTCCTGCAGGATCTCCCAAACCATGGCACCCCAAGGGTGCGGCTGGAATTGTACACACGTCAGTTTATAGTTGCTCGGTTTATTCCCAAGAGAGCGAAGTGTCGTCATTACGCAGCTGCCGGTCCTCAGAGTCAAGCTTCGAAGCCGACAACACTCCAAAACAAGGAAAGCTGGACGCAGCGATAAACAACAAGGAAGGCCAACGAAAAGCGCCGCCAACCGAACCGCCTCGAAGATACATGCATCAGCCCTCCAGCTCAGAGGGTGCAGTCTTTCGACCTACCCATGGCACTCATGCATCCTGTAATACCCCGCATAACGCCGAAGCATGCGAACCAAAAATAGAGCGCAAGTCCTCTAAACGGAATAGTCCGCGGCGACGTCCAGCCCCGAGCCCGCGTCTCGTCTTACAGACAAAAGCCACTCATCACAGCGAGACCAGGCATTCGTCGGTCGTCAAGCGAGGGCCTTGCAGCCCCACTCTTAGCGAGGCCGAATGCGACCTGCATCAGCAATTGGCTTCGTTCGAGAGCATTGGCGACATTGGGGCGGAATTTGATCAAGATTGGACCCCCCTTGCAGAAGTCAATCCTTTCCAGTGGAATGCACTTCAACATTCATCTGAGGGCGACAATGTACAGATGTCTCTCACAGAATTGGCACCGAATGAACATCTCAGTGCTCCGCCTCCCTTGCCTCGCAAATCCAGTAAACGCCAGCCAGCGAATAGGAACATGAAATTATCTCGCCTTCCACACAACCACATTGCTTCGCAGGTCCGAAGAGGGCGCTCCAAGGCAAGCAAGACGCTAACGCTCATAATCCCAAAGTACAGAAGGACAAGCGCAGACATGGTGCTGTCCCAGGCCCCAAATCCACAGAACGATGCCAACGCGACTGAAAGAAATACTACCGACCCGATCATCTCTCCCGCTGGAGCCGAGTCTCTAATCCTGAACATCTTGCAGAACCTAGGTCACTTTGACGATCTTTTCGCTGCTGCAATTGTCAACCATGGCTTTTACCGAGTTTTCAAACGCCATGAACTTGATCTCATCAAGTCGACTCTTCGAGCCATGTCCCCTCCAGCATGGGAATTTCGGGAAATCGCGTTCCCCGGCCATGACAGTTTGCATGCACACGATCTCGAGATGACGCGGCCCGAAGAGGAATACTCTCCTACGTCGTATCTGCAGCTCCAGAAACAAGACATTCAAGTGATCCGCGCCATCAAGCTGGAGATTTTGGAAAAGTGCCAGTCGTTTGTGCGACCAGAGATATCGGTTGCGCTCATGAGCGCGAACCCATCGGAATCAGCTAGGGTAGACGATGCGTTGTGGCGCATATGGACATTTTGCACAATCTTCGGCTCGGGCAAAGGTCGAGAAGATGATCTTGTTGCGCAAATGGACTGGCTGAATGGAGGAACAATAGCCCATCAGGAAACTTGTACTTTCAGCATCTCGGGCACGGATTTCATGAATGATACGCTGGTCGGTGCTTCTGAGAGTTTTGGCAAGGGTAACGAAGGCGGGCTCAGTGCCGAGCAGCTCTTTGACATTATGGAATTATGGAACTGCTTAGCAGTGCTCTTACAAAGCTTCGAAGGCCGGACAGTTCAAGCGCGCCAGGCAGGCATATACGATGACACGGAAATCCGGGGCGGAGACATTGATGGTGAAGAGATGATGCTCGGTATGTTATTTCGTTCTCAGACCTGTTCCGCTAGCTAATTCGTCTAGATGAATGGTGTTACTACCTTATGACCTTTGGTCCAGCCGCCGTCCTGAAACTAACTGGACCCTACCATCCTTCCGACCCCAAAGGCTTTGCTATTGCTGCTGAGAACGGCTGGGTCAACTGGAAGCCTCCAACTCTCGGAGATACTCGTCGCAAGTTTCTCCGGGAAGCCGCTTCTCGCATCTACGAAGACAAGATAGCAAATACCTACGCAAAAATCTCTACCCGCGACGTCCAGCGCGAGCAATCCAAGATGCGCATCCAAAAGCATATCAAGGAACTCCATCAGCGCAAGAAAAGCGGCGAAACTGGCCCGATGATTTCCATGTCGCAAGAACGACCCATGTCGGACTGGGATACAGTTCTCAGGAACCTGACTCGTCCTCCGATTCCTAAACAAGGTTCAACAGGCGATATTATCACTCATGTGCCTGGTCTCAAATCATCAGTAGCAATTCCCAACGGAGGCTACTCCATATCGGAGCTCCCGGCAACAAGAACCCCTTCACCAACTCAAAGGATAGTCGCTCGACCGCTGCTACCGACCCCAGCTCCCTCAACGATACCTGCCCTCGACCAACATAGTGTAGTCTCAGGCCTACCACCCGGTGAAGAAAATGTAGCGTCGCCTCAATGGAGAACAGCAGCAAGGCCTCTTCTCCCGTCCCCATCAATATCCACCTTCCAGAGCAACCGCGACCTGTACACCCTGGACGCCATCTCCAGTATCGGTTCACCATCCCGTCGCATGATCGCCGAACCTCTCCTCCCAACTCCCTCGACCACGACAGCATCCAACACACGCGACTGGCAAGCCGGCGGCACAGTCATCTCGATGCCCTCGATCCTCGAAGACGCACCTTCCCACCATCCTCTATCCCCCGTGCAAGCCCGACCCAATCATCTTGTTTTCCATCAACGCAAAGAGAGCCGCGACAGCGACCTCAGCTCATCCGCCAGTCCCCGAAGCGCAATCTTCCAGCAGCACGAGCGCCAACACTCCATCTACTCGAGCCCCAGCCACGAAAACACTGCCGAGAAAGCGATTTACCGCATCGTAGAAATGGGTTTTACGCCCGAGCAAGCAAGAGATGCCCTGCGTGTGACGGATCTCGGGTCTGGGCTCAGAGTTGACTGCGCGGTGGAGTTGTTGCTTAGCCGACAGGCATGAGATCATATCCGATGATATCTGTACGCATGACCGCACATATCAATACGTTTGCTCTTTTCACATCTTCGATTTGTTCCTTTTATTTTATTTTAGCATTGTACCTCCTTTTGAGGCTACACACTTGCATTCGCTTTTCCTCACTATTCGCTCAAGATCAAAGCCTATACTACGAGATACCCTTGGCTTTCCATATACCCTCGTTTTCGTTTTTACTTTTGCATTCTTTCTCGCATCCTTCACATCTGCATGCATGCATGGAATTGGTGGCATTTGTTGGATGTGGAAGTCATTCTTCTTGTTAACATATTTTGTAATCGTCATGTTTTGGATGTATATACGCTCGCTAGCTAGGATATTATATGTCATGAAAATTTGGGGTGGTTTTTGATCGATCCAGACTTTGTTGCTGGTGGCTGAATTGATTGGTTTACATGATGTGAGTTTTGTGGATAGTGAATTGTGTAGAAGGTGTTCGTAATTGAGATATGGGTGTGGATCTCCATGGAAATTTGATGTTTTGTTCGGTTCGATTCCGCACATCTCCCTGTCGAGTAACGGTCGTCGTGGTTGAGCGTGATTTGCGCCATTCCAATTTGGATTCTTGCAAGGTAGCAACGGCACAAGCGCTGGAGAAAGCGATTGTACTGAGCAGACGGACGGGCATACATCATCCCGTTCTATAGTAGACACCGCGCCACCTGCGATGCGCCAGCACATCGTCCCAAAGCCGTAGGAGCGAGCATACACCAATCGTCAACTACCAGCAGCAAAACCCGCATCACCGAGTTTCACACAACCCTTCCCCCCATAGCACCACAAATCCATCCCCTTCCCCACCCCAAAAAATGCTTAAATCCACAAATCTCTCCTTCTTTCCCTCCTCCACCCTGCTCACCTACAGCAATCACAACAATCCATACACTCACCACAGCACCCCAAGGTCTCGCTAAAACACCGCCCAATGATGGAAAAACACGCCACCCACGCCTCGATGCACCAGGGCCCCGCAAGCGTGCAATCACAGTTCCGTATGCAGCGCGAACAGCAATCTTCCTGGCGGCTTGATCCAACGGGCCCGCTCGAGTCCTCGAGGTCGGCTGTGGGTTCGTTCATAGGTGCGTAGTTCATTTTCGTTTAACTGTCTCCCGTTTCCCGTTTCCCGATCTCTTTTTTTGTTTTTGTTTTTGAAAGTGGAGGTAAGAGGCGGGAAGTTGTAGTGTGGCGGGTATCGATATAACCCCCCTCGATCCAGTTAACGGTGATAACGATGGTGATGGGGATATGTGCGTCGTTAATCCCGTGATTAGGCGTAGTAATCGTCCTTGCGCATCGATAGCAGCCAGCCCCTTAGACTTCCTCGTGAAAGAAGGAAAACAAAGAACAAAAAAGCTCAAGTTCCTATAGTTACCAGTACGGCAAACGCACCCCACCCAAACAATTGCTAAAACTCTTGTGACTAATGACGTTGTCGAAGAAATAAAAAAATCTCCGATAAGACAAGAATAAAAGATGCGTCAAAGTGTCTGGGAAAATAGAGGGTAATGTGCAACTAGTAAGTTCGTCTCTCCCCTTGGGGCAGCGCAGCGCAGCGCAGCGCACGCCCCTGATTAAAGCTCGTTAGCACTACTTAACTACTGGCACCGAGCGCGCGGGGGGCCCAACACATTAACAACGTTTTTACACAAGGCGACCAGCGCAATGCCACAAATTAAATTCAACACAGCCTCGCTCTACTCTAGTAGGGGGAAAGTTGCAACGCCCCATGGTGTTATTCATAGAAACGGAACACGAAAAAAAAGGCAAAAATGAGGAGAGAGAGCGGGCGCGGAATTTTTTTTTTAAAAAAAAAAATGAACGCACGCTGCACGAGAGAGAGGTAGAGAGTCGGTAGTATCCCGAATTTCCGCATGTGACAGCATGCATTATACCAAAACCATAGCGATGTATTCATCAATTACTCCTCTTGTACAGCCCCAAAACGTACAGTTGCTTGAACCGAAAACCCCCAAAAAACATATACGTCTGATTTGCATTCTCAACTTGGGGAAGGGGAACGGTGGGGGGTATCTTGCATAATTACATGCAAACGCCAGGTTGCCCGAAAAAAACAAAACAAAACCCAGATTAAAAACAAATCTCAATAATAGGTAAATCGAGAAGAACAGCCCACATGAAATCTTTTAAACCATATCCATCCATTCTAAACCCTTATAACGATATGAATCCCCAGACCCCTAGCCTCACGAATAGAGCAGGCAAGACACGTTCTCCCCACGCGGCTAACAAGAGCATGGAGACCCCTCTCGGCGCACCAAGCTCGAGCGAGAACCTCGAGATCCCACGATGTGCGGGCGTCGAGAACAAGCACTGCTTTCTTGGTCTCGCGGATCGTGTCTGCTTCGCTATAATCACTCTGGGACAGGGCGAGTATGCGTTCACTCGACTTTGACGTGTGCAGTTCAAAGGGGAGGAGGAAGTCTGGATCCAGAATGTCTGTCACGGGTATGATCTTGTACGAATACAATTTGTGAAGTAAGTGGGCATCCAAAGGCTTGCTGCCTGTTGCGAGTCCCTCGCCGGCCGCTTCGTCAGGAACATCGTACATGCGTTTTGGTTCATTGGTAGGGGCGTCTGGTGGATGTGATAGTAATGGCTCGAAACCATGGCTGTTGCGGCGGGACATGGTTTCGCTGTGTTTGGATGAAGATCTTGATAATGTTCCTGTGACGGAGCGTCTTAGAACCCTTGGCCGATGCGTAGAAGCTGGCCCAGATGCTGCTGGCGTGCATGGCCATGATGTTACAAACTGGATATCGTAGGCAAGCGTTAGTGTATGGCTGACCGACCCGTCGGCTGAAACAAATGTCATAGCTGGAGAGTGTATATCACTCTCAGAGTATGGTCCTGTCAAGCTGTCGCCATCGATGAGATCAGCATTCATGGGGACGAGCTCCCACTGTGAAAAGCCAAGAGAAGAGGTTGGCATCTGGTCAAGATCCCGGAGAAGTACAAAATCCTCTGATTTGGCAGGAGCAGTAGAATCTCCAGGCACAACTGCAGAATCTCGCAAGACGACATCGGAGTCATCTCTCTCCTGCACGCGGTTTTCGTAGGGGAGAACCTCACTGTGAATAGAGTACCAGCGTTCAGCTGAATTCTCCGGCAGTTTCGGGCAAGACACCCAGCCCATGCACTCTGCGGAACCTTTTACACAAGCCAAGATGCGCCCAACGATGGAGTTCTTGCTCCAGAAAGTCCTGTCACCGAAAGTGAAACCCCCATATAGATTGGCAGAGTGACCGAGGTTGGCGACGGCAATCTCATCATTCTCGAGTAGTGTGGAGATAAGCAGGTGTGAAATAGCCTCTCCAGGGAGGACGAGCCCCGTGAGGTATGACCGACTAAGCCACCCACCAACATTGTTCACAAAGGCCGTGGACTGGTCCTCGAGAGCTGGCAAAGTAGGGGTAAGGGCCATATGGAAAGCTCGAGAGTTGTTGCGCTCTAGCGCTGGTTTTGAAGTTTGCCCAAAGTAGCTCTCCATCTGAAAGCTGGAGGCTGGTGGGGTTTGTAAAGGGGTTGCGTATACACTGAGGCCAGAAGGAGATTCTGGGCTTGTCAACCTACCACTTGGGGATGATGGTGTGGCATCCTCGCTCTTGATCTGTGGCGCCAACTTGCGAACAAGTTGGGCGGACACGATGTCTAGGCCAGGCCACTGTATAACAGTGGCAAAGTGAAGAAGACCGGAGATCTGCCGCGTCTGGTGCTGCGGAAACAAGATGAGGTCTGATTGGGGCAACTCGTGGTGGGCATTCTCAGCGAACAGGGATAGCAAGCCCCCCGACTTGGGTTTAGGAGACGTTTGGGAGCCTCCCATGATGGCAATATTGTCCAAAAATGTGCGGGCAAGGACCAGATCCCAATCAATCTTTCGAGTTTTGGATTGAAGAAACGCTTCGACATCTTGGGGGTTGATGCGCAATCGGACGGCAGCATCAGCGGCGTCGGCATTTGTGTAGGCATCTAGCCGGAGCAGCAGCTCGCATGCCAAGATGATTTGGAGGAGCAGAATCTCGCGCTCAGTCCACAGGGGCTGTGTTTCTTGCTCATGCTCAGGTACCAGCTCTGGTTCACTCCACAATATCTGGCCCAGCCTAATCCTCCACTCTACCAGGCTGAAATCGTACCAAATTCCTTTCAAGTCTAGCACCCTAAGTAAGGCGGCAATCTGCGTTTGCATTCCAGTGGGATCGTCGGTCGCGCCGTCGTAGCCAGGCGGGGTCAGGAACTTGGTGAACAAGTTGGCGTACAGGTCCCCAGACGTCTGAGTATTGAGAATAGTCATGGGCTCGGGACTATCGTGGAATGCCTCGTACATGTCTTGAAACTCTCCTAAGCGGTCGTATATCAGGCGGAGGTCGACTGAACGGATACCCAGACGCTCCGGGTTGGTGTGCAACAATTCCTTGTTCTTAGTCGCCTCGACCGAGTCGGCGGCTGATTGGGATGCTTGGGGTTGGCTGAGAAGGACATCAGACTCGGGCAACTCGAGAAAGTGGGCGAAGCCAATTGTTCCAGGCTCGATGCCCTGAGTGCCAAGCATAGAAGGGGTTTCGACCGCGTCGACTGCATATCCATTGTACTCTTTCGGGGTCTCGTCAAGGGGCTGGGCCTTGAGAGTGTGTTTGTGTAGGGTTGCAGCGGAGAAGGCAGGCTCCGCAAGAGGAGCAACGTCGGTCGCGTCCTTGGTGGCAGCCTGGACACTCCAAGGAAACGAGGCTGTCGGGGTGCGGCGGCCGTTGACTATTGCGACTCGGAATTGCGGGGCGCCGGCAAAAAGGACGTGAAGCTGGGTGTCGGTCAAGGAGTCGGTCTGGTGCGGGCTAGTGTCTTGCAGTGGTAGTGATTGTGGCAGTGGTGTGGGAGTAGGTTTGGGTGCTGGTGGGCCATGGGGGTCGGGGGCATTGCTACCATGGTCGGGGGCGGTGGTGTTTACGGGTGGCGGGGTCGGGCCAGTGTCGTCGACGTGCTTGGTGGGTGCCTGCAGAGGGAAGATGACATTAGCGGGCCGGTGTTGTATGTTGTTGTAGAGTCGTGGTCAGCGTACCATTGTCTTGTCGCGAGGTTGGGATTGACGGTGCTTCCATGACTTGAAGAAGTTGGCAATCTTCTGTCTCTTGCTTGCCCTCCTTGTGAGCGGGCCTGGCTTGTCGTTCATCATATCAGTGTGCAGCCTTGGCAGCATACCGACGGCGGCGGCGGCGGCGACAGCGGCAACGACAATGACAACAACAATCACAACAACGACTCTGCATGGCGGAGGGGATATAGTACATAAGGGGAGCAGGGGCTGGGCACAACAGGCGGGCTACACACATGCACGTCAAGCATGGCAGATATCCCTGTCTGGCAGGCGAGCAGAAGGCCTGGATGGCTGTTGGGTGGAGAGGTTGCAGCTGCGCGGTCCCTGTGCCGCATCAGGGCGATCAGAAGATGACGTCCGCTCATTAGCTGCAGCGCTGCAGCTCTAGCACAGCCGCCGCCGCTACGACGCCAGTCTGATATGTCTATGATATTCACACTAATACAATACGCCATATATGTACATGGCTATGTAGTGTATGTACGTACTTTCTTATTGATCGTCCTTGTTCTCTTTTGTGCTGCTCGACACGCGCCTCTCTTTGTCCCTGTATGGCACAACTAACTGATGACGCTATTGCGGACCGCTCGCCTCTACTTACCCACGTCCCCACCAGCGCGAGCCGTGCCCGGTTTCTAGAACGCGGAAGCGCATCGCTCATGTCCGCGGCCCCAATTAAAGTACCATGTCCAGATGGTCAGCACAAGATTTGTGAAAAGCAAAACCAAGAGTCCCCCGTTGTTTGGTTCCCAGGAGAAGGTGGCCGGCTGTGATTGGGCGGCCCGCCACGTGACTTTGATTGATAGCCATGGAGATGGACACGCCGCTGACTCGGGCTGCCGCCTGATGTCCGCACAAGCATGAATCGCCACTATACTTATCCTGTCGTATAGTCAGAACATCATATGTACTTGTACATACTTGCTCCCACAAGACTGACCCAGCGTGGATTGCTGCCCCCCTCCCCCCTCCCCCCTCCCCTTTTCTTTTGCTTGGGTATGGGTATGGGTATATATACGTGTACTAGTCCTCTCACTTGTGCGCCGCCTCCACCCATCTCACATCGCTTCCGGCACAAGGCTGAGGGAGGGCCGTTTGTGGAGCGGTTCAACAGGCCGGCGGACAAGCGCAGGGTTCCGGTTACAGAATGGCGGCGATCACGTCTGCACCACGTCCCAAACAACACCGCGTTCTGGACTTCTTCGATGCTGTCGCACACCTGGCTAGACTCGAGTACATAGACGCGTAGGCCTAGCAAGCACAGTGCCATCGACTTGGGCAACACCACAAGCCGCAATCTCCGGCTTGCGCATGCTTCAAGATGCTCTTCACTTTGGTGTTCCCCACGACTGGTTCCCAAGCCCGCTTGATAGCCATTACGCTAGCCAAGTAGCTGCCCACCTCCCCCAGCTTGAGCTCCACTTTAGCGACCCCATCCCTCCTCCGTGCTGCTTATCTACCTAACCTTTCCATCCTGCCACACTTCTTTGCAACCTTTGCAGACACTTTGCTCTCATGCGAATGCATATGAAAACACAGTCTGCCCCAACGCTGGTGCAGCAACCCAGCTCTCTTGTCCCTTCCTGCCCAAGGCGGACCCTACCGCTGATCCCGCCCCTCCGCTGCAACTAGTCCTCCCGGAGAATGCCCGAGCTGACGTAAAGTCTGGCAAGAACATGTCCTCACAACCACCTGCAAATGCTGTTCTCAACAAGAGGAAGCAAACAAAAAGCCGCAATGGTACGCTCTGAATCTCCTCCTCTTATCCTCTTCGCCGCCACCCAACATGTGCCCATTTCCTGCCAAACCACCATGCTGATGCCCTTGCCTAGGATGCATCACATGCAAAGCAAAGCGCTTGAAATGTGATGAGAAGAAGCCCACTTGCGACCAGTGTGCACGGCGTGTAGTGCTGTGCGGTGGCTACAAGAAGGACTTCAAGTGGAGACCTTTCGAAGAACCCATCGTCAGGGGGAAATCAAATGCCAAGTCACGCAAAGGTCGGTTGCTCGATCAAAATAGCAAACCTCTCCTAACAGATATAGATCACATACCCGCCTCTACTCACTCACCACCCCAATACCATGCCAGTAACCACGGCCATCAACATGATTTCACCAGTATATCTCCCAATCCACATTTGCCCCAGTCTCAACCGCCCTACTACTTCATGCATGCTTCACCTACAGGCCCATCATTCCCTCAGCCTCCACTCGAAACAGCAGAAAACTTGCCCACCGCCCCATCCGCATCACCCTTCATAACAAGACACCAGTTGACATCACCTATCGACTCACACGCACAAGCATCTCTAGCATCATGCAGTACGTTTGGGGCGGAGAGCACAAGCACAGCACAAACTCAGGGAACGGCCGATTCCAGCATCTCGTCTGGTCAATCACCCCGTCTTGTAGATCTCCTAATGCCGGGAACAGACCTCAGTGTGCCACCAGAAGAATACTCGTCGTTCCTAACTCAGCATGAAGCCTTCTACCAGCCCACCGGCCTAACTCCACCAGCGCCAACCGATCAGGACGACGATAACGAAGAACTAGTGCGCTACGCTCGTCAAGATCCGGGAAACTGGGTCCTACCACTGCCCTCGCCTGCCTCATCCAGCTCAAGCACATCTTCATCAGACTCTCCTACCTGCCGAATACCTGCTCAGATACAGCTTTCTTCCTTTTCAGCAGAATCTTTGTCACGTCGCTACCATCGCGACACATGCGGCGTGCTGTCTGTCAAAGATGGTCCAACCGAGAATCCATGGCGAACTCTAATCTGGCCTCTGACACGAGAATGTCCCGCGCTCTATCACGCAATCGTCTCCATGACATCGTTTCATCAGTCCAAGGACATTCCCATTCTGCGCATTCAAGGGATCGATCATATGCGAAGTGCAGTTCATGCCCTGGCTGAAGGCCTACCAAACATGCGTGTCGATGCAGCCATCTCCACCACCCTGGTACTGGCTTTTGCCGAGTCTTGGGATCAACACATTAGCACAGGCATCAACCATATCAAAGGTGCAAAGGTCCTGATCAACCAAGCACTTATGCAACACCGCCTAACGCCTATGAAGGGCGAGGAGTGGACTCGCTTGAAATTCCTTTGCAACGCCTGGATTTACATGGACGTCCTTGCTCGCTTGACATCCACTGACAAAGATCAGACCTACGATGTCGACACCGTTCAAGAAAGTATTTATGGAACCGGCGAGACTGACACAACTGTTGACCCGTTGATGGGCTGTGCGCACACTCTGTTCCCGATTATTGGTCGTGTGGCAAACCTCGTCAGGAAGGTGCGAAGGTCCAACAGCAATGGACCTACAATCATCTCGCAGGCTATGCAGCTCAAATCCCAGCTCGAAGACTGGGTCCCACCTTCCTTCATCGAGGACCCCGAGGATGAATCAACAAGCCCGCATGACACAATAAAAACTGCAATCGCCTACCAAAATGCAACGCTATTGTATCTACACCAGGCTGTTCCGGAAATCCCGTCACAATCTTCGAGTGCGCTGGCAAAGAAGGTTCTGTGCGACTTGGCGACAGTTGACCCGCGCTCCCGCTCAATCATCGTGCACATCTACCCCCTTATGGCAGCTGGCTGCGAGGCCACTAATCCCGAGGAGCGTGAATGGGTCAAAGCCCGCTGGGAACTCATGTCTTCGCGCATGAAATTGGGAATCATAGAACGGTGTTTGGAAGTCACAAAAGAAGTATGGAGTCGACGAGACGCATCCACAGCAGAGCGCATGGCCATGCAAGTGGATGACAATTGCGCGCAAAGTTTCTCGTCGTACACAACCATGCGAAATGACGAGTTCGACTTGGTAGACAAGCTCAACTGGAGAGACACACGGCATTGGGAGCAGATATCAAGTTCCCATATGAGTTCAATGGACCCAGAGGTTACAGTCAAGGGGCGATTGCATTGGCTGGGGGTCATGAAGGACTGGAACTGGGAGATTCTTCTTGGATGATTTGTAAAATCGTCATATTGTTCATTTTAATCAACCACACAATTGGCGTTTGGGCGTAAAGAGCGATACGTATCCAAAGTTAATGGTAGTTCGGTAGGGCCAAGGGGCGTTCAGTAACACCTTACAATGGCCCATGGGACCTGACAGGTTGCCGGAAATAACCTGTTTTTCCAGACAAAGTAATGTTTTAGAACCTACTGTTGCAGTAGCACTGGAACTGGTTCCAGGACGTTACGCAATTGGGTCATTTCCATATGTAGTTCCAGCAAGTCGCAGTAGATACCTCTTACGATACACAATACCTTTCTTCTCTTCCCTCCGCCACAAACAACCCTCTCCTCAAACTCGATCAGTGTGCGGGATCAAGACGCACCGGGAGTACGCAATCCCATGTAGCGCCAATTTCGGTAAATTTTCCTTCCACGTACCTACATAGTACAAGACTAAATAGTCCAAAGGAAGGAAAAACACATGTATATTTCTGAATACCCCTCTCGCCTGGAACGCCGCTTCCCGAATAGATAGGTATGGCAAATAGGCTATGCCTAGATAGGAAATCATGGAAGCTGGGTCCTCTGACATCTCTGTACCTGAGTTGCATGAACTCGTCCTACTATTGAAATTTAAATTGCAAAATAAAGAAAAAAACGTGATGGTCAGGTGAGGTAAAAGATTGTGAATACAACAATGAACAACCAAGTCAACGAGAAAAAAAAAGGTATTTCGAGAACATTTTGGAGACCAGAATTGCTAATACACCAGCTAGAAACCGTCCCAATAATCACTACACCGCACCCCTTCTTCTTTTTTTTTAAATGACCAAAATTTATTTAGACACCTCTACTGAATCTTAATCTCCCAGCTCACGCACACACACATAACACACGAATCACAGCACGTCATCACCAACGCATACGCATCCCAACCCTACACGGCTGCAACCTTCCCATCCGCACACCCATAGGAGAAGCACTCGTCACATGGCCACTCGGTCACATGTCCATTCAATCACCTCTCACACACCCCTGCAACCTTGTGCGACCACCTAAGAGTATGACGCGATCCTGCATGTGAAAGTTTGATCAAAATTTCGACGTGGCTATGTTTGGTCGTACGAAAAGGGACAGGGGTGAGCGGATTATAGACTGACGGGGTTTGGGCCACTAGTGGGTGGGTATGTGACTGGGATGTGATGGAGAGGGTGTGAATGTGATGTTTGTTTGTTTGCCACGCTATGGTTGTGTGTGGTCGGGTGTGCTGGATGTGTTTGGATTGCTGGCTGTAAAAGTTATTGGGGGTAGAGTCGTAGGAGGGATGTAGGGAGATAGGAGGCTTGGTGATGTGGGAAAAAGAGGGAAGGAGGTGAGTCAAGTTGATGTTTTTTGTTATATGGTGTATCAGGACGGATGTACAGCGAATAGCCTATAGTGGCTTTCTTGAATTCAATCATATGTGATGTCGTCCCTTTTGGTCATTCCTTCCTTGCTTTTGTTCAATCGCATCCTCATGCGCCCTTCTGCACCAGGTCCGATACTTGTTGCTCAATGGCCTTGTCGTCGAGGCCCTTGAGCGGCAACTTCCTCTCCTTTCCGAAATCTACAATTGTCAACCGTAATTAGCATTCCTTGTCCTCATGTATCTCTCTCTTGTAACTACGTTTCTACGCACCGAATCTCGCAAAGACTGTGGGCTCGGTGCCGCTGGCTTCTCGGATCATAATGGGAATCGATGGGTTGGCCTTCTTCATGGCGGGATAGCTTCGGGTGAGGAAGTTCCTGTATCACTCCGTCAGCTAAAGTTTCATTCCCAACCACCCAATCATGCGCAATCGCGTTTGCGACTCCCCTCGCTCAAAAACATCTTGTATCGTGGAAGCGCATACCTTGTCGCAGCGCTGTGCTCGCTAGTCTGGCAAAACAGGAAGCGCAGCTCCTTGAGCCCATTTCCAAATACTTTCGAGGCCATTGCGAGAAACGTGGGCGTGAAGATCGTTTGCGTGAAGATCGTTTGCGTGAAGAGTGTCAATTGGAGGGAAGTGTCGTCACCCTCCAAAAGCGCCCGCCCGCGCCGACATTCAATGTTCGTCGAGCTGGCCCCCGGCCAGGAACGCGCTATACCCAAAATAGCCTAACACTGTCGGAGCAACGAAGCGCCATTGTTTAATCCCGGATTTGTCCCATCTGACGAACCCTCAGGCCCGACATCGCCGCCAACGACAAACGACCTCAGCATTTGTCAATTGCTTCCGGACCTCATTTACCCTTCTCCGGACAACGCCCCGACCCTTCCTTTCCCGACAACAGAGTGAGAGGGACAGAATACACAGCAATCATGTCGTTCCGCCCCGGCTCCCGCATCTTCAGCTCCTTCCGACCTTTCTTCCAACGCGCAAATGCCCGCCGACGAGTCAACACGGCTGCTGGCGCCGAGCCCGCTGGATTTCAAAAGTTCTGGAACAGTCCCATCGGCCCAAAGACTGTGCATTTCTGGTACGCACCGCTTCGCCTTCCCGTAGTCTTCGATCCTTTGCGACGACGCACGTTTTCTTTTAGAAGATTGCGGCTTCAAAGTTTCCCCCGCAATGTCCGAAGCGTCGCGTGCGCAAGTGACTTTGTCCAAACCGCACCCTTGCCAAACATGAACACAGCATACGAACGTCAATATGTACTGACACTTCTGCAGGGCCCCAGTAATGAAATGGGGTATGGTCCTCGCCGGCGCCTCCGACTTCTCCCGCCCCGCCGAATCCCTCTCCTTGACCCAGAACTTTGCCCTCATGTGCACAGGCGCCATCTGGACCCGCTGGTGCTTCGTCATCCGCCCCAAGAACATTGCCCTTGCCGCTGTCAACTTCCTCGTCTTCTGCGTCGGTGCGACTCAGGTCGGTCGTATTTATCTCTACAACCAGAGCTTGAAGAACACAGAGGGCCAGGCAAAGAATGAGATGCAGGATTTGAAGAATACTGCACAAAAGGCGGAGAAGGCGCTGAAATAAGTGCGGGTTGTTGGAAATGGGTTTATAGACTTGGACGTGAGTGGGGAGATGACGAGGGATGTTTTTTGTTTCCCTTGGTTCTTTCAAGGAGAGCAAGTGGGCCAGATGAAGAATAAGTCAAAATTCATTCGTGTTCACCACCATCTACCCAGTGCTAGCATTTCAGGAGTAAATCATGGTATCATATGTAGCTAGTCTTGATGATTCCCGACTGAGATAGAAATACCATGAATTTTTTGTGTGCGTAATCTACAGCTTCATCTCCCAAATCCTTACTCTGATTATCCTTGCCTCGTTGGAAATGCACAATACCGCAGGTAAACCTGCCTGCATTTTTTCCGAGAAGTACGCCATACAGGGTTTCTGCATCTCTCGAGAAAAGGAAATACTTATACAGATGATGTATTACATTAGTGGTTGCTGAACTCGGTTAGCATGTGAAACAACAGTAAGGAACGGGGAGCCCATGACAAAAGAGAAAGAAGAAGAGATAAGAAAGAAAACAAAACGTTGCAGTTGTATTACATGGCCCATGGCAAATGTATACATCATTGGGGGGGTATCAACTCTGCGTAATCATACAACACCACCATTCCTCGCATAAATCACAAAACTCCAAGAACGAAAACGGACGAAAGAAAAAAACTCCCTCAACCTCAATAATAACTCAACCCCGAAGCCCTAACCTTCTTCTTACTCTTCTTCTTCGTCTTAGTAGGCGTAGGACTCACCACATCTCTGCGCCCCACCCCGGTCGCTCTCTCCCTCTTCCTATCCCCACTCCCCATCACCTTACTCGCGCCGCCCGTCATAAAATCGCCGTACGCGCTCTCAGAATATAACGCAGGCGTCGTAGTGCCGCTGGGCATCCACTCGCTGCCGTCTTCCCAAGCACTGCCTTCAGCGTGTGCGGCGCGAACACCTTCGATGTACGCTTCCATTCTCGAGCGCTCGTCATCGTCTTCGAGGCCGCAACCGCAACCGCAGCCGACGATGCATTCGCCTTCGTCGACACCGATTTCGTCACCCATGCAGTCCATGTGTGCGACGTGGCCGCACGCGGGACATAGGTTGAAGAGGCCTGAGACGCGGATCCAGCAGATGCTGCAGCTGTAGGTGGTTTCTGCCTCTACAGGCTTGGATGTTTCAGTACTGACGGTGGGGGCTGGGCGGCTTTCGCGCCACGATGAGCCGCCGGAGACGTTGGATGTGCCTCGTGAGAGACTTGGTCTGCTGGACCGGCTCGGGGGTGGTTGCAGTTTGGACTGAGCAGGTGATGTGCTTAGTCCGGCAAGGCTCTCATCAAGCTCTGCAGTGGGCGTACGAACTGGTATCGAGAGACGCAAGTATTGTTCCGGAGGAATAAATGTATCCATAGGTAGGTCCACTATCTGTTCTTCCGATAGAATGTTTGTTATGGTGCTGGGCTGGAACTCTGTAGCCTCTGGATTGAAGGAGAAGTGCTTTGGAGATGCAGCAGATAGGCGCTTCGATTGTACCGTAGTGGGCGTTGGAGGCACTAATGTTGTTGAGGCTCTTGATACGCGTTGAGCTATCCTCTCATCCTCCTCGTCTTCATCATCGCTAGACCGTTTGATCGCGAGTGATATCGAGCCAGACTTTGAGCTGGTACGAGAATACTCGACTGGAAAGTACGAGACAAGCCCATTAAATTTGAGTACTTCAGCTCGAGCACTGACTAGACCCCAACGATTCAGCATCTCAGCATACTGCTCTCGCCAGACACGATGTAGCCAATCTTTACTTGCATCTAGTAACGGCCGACTGAAACATGCCTCATCATCGAACTGGTCTTGATTTTTGAGTGTGACCTTGATAGCCTTGCCACCATCGCCCTCTCGAGGCGTGCCGGGTACATTGCGTTCTTTGACACCTGTCGTGGCGTAGCTGCCTTCATCATCCACCTTTTCGTAGTCCGAGTCGGATTCGCCAATGTAGTTGATATCGACGTGCTCAGACTGTCCGAAGCTTGCGCGCTTTCCTTGCTTTGTGCGTGGGGCTGCCATACTGTTTTGGTCATGAGAGTCACTTCCATAGAACGTCGTTGTTCCCCAAGTCACCCCACTAGTCGGCGCAGATGTAGAAAGATCTTCGATCCGTGATCTGACCGGAGGTGAAGAAGACATTGCGTTTGCAAAAGGCCGTGACAACGCTGCTACAGCACTCGCAAAATTTGCAGTCGAGCTCTTCTTATGAGCTGTGTGGCTATTCTCTGGCGATGTTCCATATGGAGTGTGATTTGCTGTATGAGCATTTCTAATCGGAGGTATTTGAGATAACAGAGGTGGCGTGTTGCCAGTCGAGTAAGGTGTAACAGGGTCTGAATGGAATGCGTCGCTACTCCATGGCCCGTTTGAACTCCCATGACTTCCGTAGATATCGAGATTCTTAACGGATCTCTGGGATGCAGATTCATTGACCGGGGTTGCAAAGCGTGAATACGAAGGCGTAGGTGGGATGGAAATCGTGGGCTTGAACAAACTCCATGCCGCGTCCGACGAGGGAAAGTAGTCTAGGGAGAATGCCGGTGCTTCCATAGACATAGGGAGCTGGGATTGCCGCATTTTAGCCATGGCTGAGGTCACACCTTCGCGTGTAGCAGGTTCCGCAAATATGCAAGACAACATGGCAAGCATCTGAACATCTGCCAGGCGCTCAAAGTGGTCAAAAAGTGCAGGTATCAGCCAAGTGACGATAGGGTGATGACCCCACTTGACCCGAGCATTGAGCGGAGGGTTAGTCACACTTTCTGACTCGTCAAACGCGAGGTCGAGCCCGCTGTCTTTACGTTTAATCCTTACTAGAGCCCTTCGGGCCAGCACAAGGACCTGGTCTCTCCGGTATTGTTGAGGAAGTATCTCCACAGGTACTTCATTGCTCAAGATTAGTTTACAAAGCATCCAAATATCGGCAAGATCCTCGAATCCGTGCCTTCTTGCTACTTCAGAGTTGTGCTCGCAAATGATGGGCCCAGGACCAAAAATTCGGTATTCCTCCGCAAGAACGCGCTTGCTTGGAACCATGTCGTCCGTAGCCGAGAACAGGATAGACACTGTGGATTTAGTCTTGGATGGCTGTTTTGCCACACCACCCGAAGAAGGTAACGAGTTCCGTGATTGAAAGCGAGAGATAGATTTCTGCCAAGCCAGGGGAGGCTGAAAGTTTCCAATACGTGCATTCCCGTCATGATCAGAGCCAGATGAAGACGATGGAGTGGAAGAAGTTTCCCAAGAGCCAACAGAAGACGATGGAGACGACGCTCCATCTGAATCCTCAGCACGACGGGAAGTAAAGCGACCAAAAGAGTCAAAGATATCGTTCTTCAGGCCACTTTGGCGAAGATTTCTTGCAATCTGAAATCTGAACACCTCTGAGCCAGGCGTTGATTTTACTGGTGGTATCCTTGCAACCACAAGGGACCCATCGGCTGAGAACCGGGCAGTACACTGAATGGGAAGAGGGATGTCAGCATTCATATGAGAGGATTGCATCACGTCATCAGTAAACTCGCCCTCGTGATCCTCGTCTTCGCTGGAGCTTTCTCCCGGCAAGGGTCCAAGATCTTCGAGTGGCTCAACGTCTTCGCCCAGATCCAGGCTATCGTCCAAAGCACGCTCTCCCAAAGCATACGAGAGTACTGCTTCCAGAGCCTCGCGTTCCTGTTCAGCACAAGTAGCAGCGATGCGATGCATATTGTGGACTAGTTCTTCTTGGTGTTCTTTGCTGATGGATGCCGTTGTCCTCTCAAATTCAATGTCTAGTGGGGTTGGTATCCTGTGGCGAATAGAATCAGGCTGTCCGTTTTCAACAGCCTTGGGGTAAGCAGATGGAAACCTGATAGTAAATCGAAGAAACACAAGCTTTGCACCATCAGTTGCAGGATCGTAGTCACCCCAAGGCCCGTTAAACGAAACCTTGATGTAGCGGCCCGGCACGTCAATCTCTTCGAAAGCGAGCTTCTTGTATTTGTTGCCGACGTATGATATTTCGGCACCGAGGTCATTCTGCTCCTGGTACGGGTACTTCTCGCCAAGATCTTGTTGGTTGGGTCGAGCGTGAATATCATTGACATTGTTGTGACGATCACCCCCAAATTTGACTCCGTTGATCCAAGTGATATGGTTAACAACACGTGGGTCGTTTCGGCGAATGGGCTGGGCAGTCATGGTCTCTCTCTGCACTATCTCTGGATGTATCTTGGCGTGTGTTTGTCCAGGAAAGCGAGAAGTATGAACGTCTTCGTTGAGGGAGTAGTTCTGCAGCAAGGTTGACAAATTTCCTTTCCGTTGTTGGCGTGGTGGACCAAAGTAGTCCCGATCACCTGCAGTAGTGGTAGGAATAGGACCATCGCGATAGGATACATAGGCAGCCCCTCTCCGCGTCGCACTGGGCTCTTCGACAAGCCGTTCGCCTTTTCGATAGCCGACAGCCCTTTCGAGAAGCTTGGGATCGAGGTGATGAAGTTGTAGGCGCCTGTCAGTCCCCCAAGAAATCAACTGGAAGTCACGATTATCGATGCCGTAGTCAGTAGAGCCACGAGAACGCCATAGGAACTCGCGGACTTGAGCATCAGAATCGTGCTTTTGAAAGGCATGAACTGGCTCATCATTAAAAGTTGATGCATCGCTATCTTTGGCGTGCTTATACAGCCAAAGGTTCGAATTGCCTCGTTGCGGCATGGCAAGAATGCCGTGAGGAAAGGGCGTATGTCGCGCTCGCCATACAGGATAATGAGTGCGGATGACGCGCCGGGGGACAGTGATATGATCAGATTTGCCTACATTGCTCCAAAGCTTGATGGTAGCATCCAAAGAGCATGTCATGATCTTGCTTGGGTCGTTGCGGTTCCAGTCAATACCGTAGATCTTGGTGGTATGAGCGGCAATGGTCGAAAGGGGAGTTGCTCCATGGCGAGTATCCCAGATGTGGAGGTACTTGTCGTGGGCGCTTGCAATGATCTTGTCATTCTGGCGATTCCATTTGACTTGGGTTGCTCCAGCGGTATAGTCGGCAAGCTTCAACGGGGCTTGCCTACTCCGAAGGTCATGTATGAAGACGAAGCTGTCAACTCCACATGTCGCGAGTAAGTCTGGATGATGGGCAGAGAAATTGATGTCTGTAATGGCGCGTTCATGGGCGCGTAGCGTGTATTCAATGGGTGCTTTCTTGCTGTTGTACGGCATGGAGAGATTGTATACGAGCGCGAGCTGATTGCGGGTGGTAGCAATCCACTCTGCGCGTGCCGCAAAGGGTGACCACTGCACATCAGCGACGTCCCACGACGATTGGTTTGGAATGAAACGAGGTAAGGAAAAAAGATTGTCCAAGTCAATGATGCGGAGGCCGCTCTTGCTGGCAAGGACGATGTCGCGGCCTGCTGGGCTTATGCTGGCAGCGCCAATCTCATCATCTACTTTGACCTCGACATCGCGATCAAACGTCGGCGACTGGAACGCTGATAGAGGCCCGCCCACCGTGGCCGCCATCTTGTTGCTGGCCGTCTCGGGCATGCGCGTGTAGTCGTGACGGCGGTGGTAATGGAGCAGGCAGTGGCTCCCCTGTCCAGGCGTCTCTAGCGCCGCTGGCCGATTACGCAACATCACACATGCATGTCTAGCCCTTTGGCCCTACCCAAGACCAGACGACACAGGCTTGCTCCTCCAAACGCAGAGAAAGAGGACTCCTACATCTTTCGCTGGTACTGAAAAGCATATTCGCTCTCTCCACACGAGCCCTCACCCTTCACAACCTCTCGCTCTACACAAGCGGCATCCTGCCCCACCATCAGCTATGGCGCTGCCCAAGCGAATCATCAAGGAAACCGAGCGCCTGGTCAACGAGCCGTAGGTACTCCCGACGGGATGACATGCTATTTTACTGATCTGGGGTCCCTGTATAGTGTTCAAGGAATCAGCGCGACGCCGCACGACGACAACCTTAGGTATTTCGATGTTACCATCGACGGCCCTAGCCAGTCGCCTTATGAGGGTATGCTGGTGCCCAGTAATGTTGAAGTTTTCAACTGACAAACCCTTCGTAGGCGGTGTCTTCAAGTTGGAGCTATTTCTCCCAGACGACTACCCCATGACGCCGCCCAAGGTCCGCTTTCTCACAAAGATCTATCACCCCAACATCGATCGTCTAGGTCGCATCTGCCTTGATGTTCTGAAAAGTAAGTTTGGAGTCATACTTCACAAGACCAAGGCTTTGCTAACATGTACAGGTAATTGGTCGCCTGCCCTTCAGATTCGTACGATCCTGCTCTCGATCCAAGCACTTTTGGGCGCGCCCAACCCGGACGATCCCCTTGCGAACGATGTCGCCCAGGCGTGGAAGGAGAACAAGAATCAGGCTATTCAGACAGCCCAAGAATGGACACAACAGTACGCGAAGCCGTGAGCCTACATCTTTGACATCACCCAATTGGGCGATATTTTAACGTTGTCACGGGCAGGGAGGCTGTCCTCTTTTCCTAACGTGCTGTATGGGGTTCCAAAAGCACAGCCTCCCACCATGCCACGTAGCGATGATTCATTAGTCTTTCGAAGCCTCACATATAACGGACTGACTCCATTATTTCTGCCCATCTCTTTTTTTCAGTACTAGCCACTTTGCTGCTGCTGCAAGCCCTGGCGTTGGATGGACAATCTGGACAGCATGATAGCGATATATTCGCCGTTGGCATAATTGAGAAATTTATCGTTCTTCTCTTACGCCGGATAGCCACCAACTCTTAGACCATGGAAATGAATTATGATCCCAAAGTCTCGTGTCATTGTTGCGTGATGTGCCATTTGACGTAAAGCATAGTCGTGACCCATGTAGCAACCCGTCTCGCTGTGTAGCATGCATTTGCTGCAACATCTGAACCAACACAGAGCAGATTTTCAGCTACATTCATTAATGTAAATGGCGTTTTCCTCCGTGATGCTCTAGCTTTAAAGTCTGCATCATGGGTGTTTCTGCGCGTTCATTTTGAGCAAATGGTAAGCACGTCCGCAAGCAGCTTCCAGGGTTCTGTTGGTGGGGAATAGGATGCCGGGCAATCTGCTTGACCCAAGCCCCTCATCGACACAACATCCCCGCCCCGATGTCGACATCAGTCAACTTTCGACCTTGCGCTGTCGTTTTCTGCTCTCAGCTCTCGTCATTCCTGTCCTTGTTTCTCGATAAATGAGGCTATGCCTTGCTGCTCTCGTGGTCCGCCTCCTGGCCTCTCCGCTGTGGATCTAGCTTTGGCGCTTCTTCACATTGAGCCTCTCCTCCCCCGCCGTTCCTCCCCCCACCAAATGTTGGATATCCAGACACAAAGAGCGGCATCATCAATGTCTGATCTGGGATCTCGGCCTCTTTACGGCTCCAGGGGCGACGCTTCTCTTCGAGAAAGTCAGTCGCGTCCTGTCCGTAACCTCGCCAAGACCCCCGTCGATGAATATTCCAAGCGGGGGTACCTCCTCTGCCGGAGCACACACACCACAAAGGACGCCCTTCTATCATACATGGCAAAGCGTAGATGATGTCTGCCATCACCAGAACCAGTGCTGCCCCTCGCTGGGCACAGGTATACACATAGAAACGTGGCGCGGATGAATGACACTGTAGTTCCAGAGCCAAAGCTATGTGGAAGGCAGCATCAGCGGCTGGCGTGTGGGGCATCCTACACATCAAAGACACCCTTAACAGCGAGTCGCCAGCACCAGCAGCATAGGCGGAAGCCCGTAGCTGACGACGATGGCATGCTGCCAGCTCCAGTTCATTCGCCTGTACGCCCCACGGGACGCGAACCGAACGACTCCAAGATCACAACACAAGGGCAGCTGACAGGCGCCACACAACACACAACCAGGGGTCTTGAGTATCGATGCCAACTGCGATGTGCGGGTAGAAGCAGATGTCATAATGTACTCATTGGCACCATGTGCCTTCTCTCGCATGTATCCCTCATTGAGTTCTGTGTGGATGGCTTACGATGTATGCTTTCTTCTTAGGCCAAAATCGCGAACCCACGCAAATCCTCGCAGGGCTGCATACGGAGCCATAGATGACACAAAGACGCCCGATGCCTCAAACTGCAGCGACGAGGTTTCCGGTAATCATTTAGCCTTCCGTGATACGGTATCGCCCTCCGCCTGAAAAGGTTGACGACAGCATCGGCATAGTGACGGCCACCTTCCTTGGCAAACGGAACACAAGCAGAACTGTGAGGCCATGACGGGCACTTTGCTGGCCATCATTGGTAATAGCATCATTGCTCTCTTGGGTGAGATCATCGGCCGAGCGTTGTCATGAGCGCCAAATGTTTGGATGTGGTCCGTACAAGGCATCAGTAACGCGGTATGATGAGAGCTGGCATAGCCGCTTTGACAAGCGCATTAAGCTTGAGTAAGAGCTAGGAAAGTCGACATCGAGTACCGTACTTCGTGATCATAACATGAACGTGAGCGACAAGCGGCACATCTCCGCTTCACACTGGATGTTTCATCAAGGGATGTGACATCTTCTCCTATCATACTTCATGGTGGAGATGTGTGGGTTGAGTTTTGACTTGGACATCAGGGCTTTTAGGTCCCACTCAAACCACGGCCTTGCTGACGCAAGCTCATGGATGGTCGCTGTTGACCTTGACGAGAATAACGGTTCCACCTGGACAGTGGTTCTAATGGACGGTATGCTTTCAGGCGGCATGTCAAAGTATCTTGACGACAGTTGTCGGTTGGAGTCCACACATGTCAGACTCGCGCTTCGGTATTCATCCTCAGGAGAACATATGCCATGACCGTCCTATTCATGGGCTTCGGTCAGCGCCTCGAGGGGTATTCGGAGCATCGACCTGGCTCTCTCGGTTAAAGCATTTCTCTGGTGGCCCTCTTCGTTGGTGATATTCTCGTTGCCGGTATGACACATTGTCATATTTCAATCATGTATGAATGGATTGTTCAGTCCATGAACTTTGCATGTGTTGGTCGATGTGCCTCCGCATCTGTTACAGGACAACATGTTGAGTTTACTAGACAAGACCACGGTAAAGAACAAGCTACCGACGATATCGCCGGATGGGACACACCAGACTGATGGATTGCCCAGGCACGCTGTCATGTCAGCCCAAGTTGTAGCCTTCACCCCCGGAAAATACCACATGCACAACTCCAGCTGGAGTCGTGTAGACATTGCCCTTCACAAGAGTTAGTACCTATGGCAGCTACATGTGTCGGCCGAGAATTTGCAGTACCAAGAGGTGCTGATGTTGTTTGGTTAGGGTGAGAAGCGCTAGGCTACCCCCAAACTGGATGAAGGCAGCATCGATCATCCGTTACAGGTGGTATCTCAGTATCGAAATTTCTCATGGTACTAGCTCTTCTCATGGATTCTTCCGACCAGAGAAATTGAGATGAGCCCCACCCACAACGATCCTGAGAAGCAATACGCCAGCGAGTATCATCCTGGTCAGAATGGCATGAGCCTTCTTTTTCTCATCTTGAGCAAAAGAAGGCTATTCTACAGCGTAACCAGATGTGCTTGAGGAGTCTCGGACGGAACCTAATTGTTATCGCGATTTCCTGCCAAGTCGAATGATGCCCAGGAAAGTTCCATTGAGCTCTTAGGCCCCTTCGAATCTGCTCCTTGTTATCCTTATCCAAGCTTGTCACTGTCCGGCGAGATATGGCTCGAGGAGCCCTCTCTTAACTGCACCATGCACTTGGTCTTGTATGCTGGTATCCGAATACCTGAGATATGATACCGATCTCCTACAGCTGCCTGTATGGTTTCTAGTTCTGGGGACCGGAAACAAAGAAAGCTTTGGGATATAAGATCGATCACCAGCGTACCCGATGGAGATGTGCCTCGATATACAGTCTGAATGACTGTCTATAGGAGCGGCAGCCTTAGCGATAGTAAAACCGTCGTTTCTGGCTGCTCGTCCATCACCCATCTCTTAATAATGGTATACCTGCACGAAAAAGATACCGGTAACCGTTCGAGGACTTGATGCGAGGTGCTTCACGCGCTGTGTCGTGGATTGGTGATCGTACACCAGGGTTCCGCAGACCAGTAGCAAGCCATGATGCTGATCTTGCATTTTGCATCTACCACACCTGTTAGCTGGTTTGAAGATGCGACTTGAACTGCGCGATGGTATGAATTCGTCCGTGGACTCTCAACCATACATTTAGGATCGCGTTCGTCGGCCTTCGGCTTTGCTCGGTGGTGACCACAATGTATCGGCGCCCTCGAGTAAACAACATCCACACCTGCGATTCCTTGTTCGGTCAAATGGTGTTGGATTTCGACGGCAAGACTCTTCAATGTTTCGATTCGTTGCCCAACGATAGTCTTTGGTAGACTGGGTAATGCGATGACTCTGCGACTGAGGCAGCGTCTCGTACTCGAGGTGTTGTTTACGAACAAAGGCGTTCATGACTGGACAACCGAGTCGGTCAAGGACATTGTAAAGAATCTGTCCCCCCTTTCACTCCGGCCGAGATTGTCAAAATCTCGTAACTAGAGTGCGCATTGTACAGGGAGGAGCACTGAATTCTTTTCAAGTCTTGCGAGAGGGGCAGACATTGAGCTGCGGTATGCTGGGAGTGATCATCTACACAACTGAGATCAGTCTTCATCAACATGCGCTGTTGTCATACTTGCCCGCATTGGTTTCCCTCAACTGTTTGTCAATCACAACAAGAGCTCCGATGGTGTTGTTCGTTGCTCAGGTTTGTAGCGACCTTCACGGAGCTTGCTGCGGCGAGTGTGGTCTTGCAGAGATGAGCAAGATGTCTGCGATTGCGATTGCCCCTTGTTGGAGCCTCTGTGTTCCCCTTGACCCAAGTCGCTTTATCTCCGTTGTCGCATTCTGGAGACGCGCGATAGGAAGTCAAAGGGATGTATGCAGGCGCTCGTAGCGGCGATTCGTTGCTTCGACTAGCCTCGCGCTGCATACAAAGGCATTGTACAATGCATCAGGAGCCTGTTCTCTTCTCACAAGAGGAAGTCAATCCATTCGCGAAGAATGGTTCATGTCGTCGCAGCGGTTCTACTTACTGCAGTAGAGAGGTTACCGTTCAGAATATGTTCGGAAGAGATGTAAGCTGGGCACTACCAGTGCCTCCTGCATCTACATGAGGTTGTATCAGACCTTCTCAAGTCACTCATGACTCTCCTTGGAGTGCGATGTGTAGATGCTTCCGGACCATTGTCTGCCTCATGGGTGACTCGCCTGATGGTGTTGAGGTCCGCTGCAGCGTCGAAGGTTTTGTAAAGGAAATACCTTGAGCACACATGAGGTCGCTACCCCGTTCTTGAGAAGAGTCTGCAATCTTCCATGGGTAGAAAGACACCGTCGACTTGTATGGTGATGGTCTCGCGCTGGTGTTGTTGTCGTTGGAGGGAGAGAGGAGCGCAATGTCAACTCCCCGCCAAGGCTCATTGCACGCGCGCTCGATGGATACAACACCAGGTCAGCCAAACCAGGCAAATAGGAGAAGGTCTGCATGAAGTAATGCTCAGTCCCAAGCAGAGTTGCTATAATCTATCTCTGTGAGGTGGAGAAGCAAGGTCAGGTCAAGACTGTGCAGAAAGATATGGACCGGTAGGGCAATGGCCCAACAAAGTCTGCAGCAAGATGGAGCGTTACAAGGCACAACTATGCTCTCTGTTTGTCACGCAGGACCCCTGAGAGGTGGTAAGGTCCCCGCCTTGGCCAATGTTCACGTCGCCCCGTGCATTCATTCTGCTATCCAAAATGATATCACACCTGACCCCGCTCACTTTCTTTGGGTATATAAGTTGTTAAATTCCCCATATTTTCATTAAGCAGCACCTAGCTATAGGGTGGCATACGGCAATACCCAGCCTGAGGGTAGGTGAATGGCGAATGGGCCAGGGTCAGGTGAGTCCACTTTGATTTCTGCACTCCGTCCGGATAGAGGTTCGACTGCGGCGAGAGGTTCGATTCCGGCAAAAGATGTAGGTTGTATCAGGAGGTAAGTATGGGACTAACAAGGGCCTGATACAACCGAACTTTTTGCACTGTTTTGCACCTGGAGAGGACAAAGGCTGAGAATGAAGCTCGGCTATTGACTGCAGTATTTTTTATTCTCCAGCCGGAGCTGGTGCACGTTATGTATATATGAGAGCGCTGGTAGTGGTATTTTTGGTTGCTTTTTTTGCAGCTTCGATGGCCCCTTCCGCACGCCGCCATGACCACACGGATTGCATGAGAACACCATGTTCAACCCCCGCAGCGCGTTATCTAGCGCTTCTCTGGGATCGAATATGACTGAAGATGAGGGAAGGTCATTTGGTCACCTTGCCCAGAGACAGCGTTCTTATGGCAAGATCATGGCTTGATTCCTGCACGAGCTTTGCTGCGTTGAAAATCCACCGCCCAGGAGTACAATTGACCAAAAGAAACAGCGCACAACTGCTATTGAGACATACATCTTGACGATGGAATGAATATGAGAGGTAGGCGCAAGCATGATATGTTGATATCCTGGCTTGCAGTGCAGTGTGATTATCTGTCTCCCAGTGCACAAGCACAGATTTCGCGTCGACGAGGAGTTGCATTGCAACACTTTCAAAGCCCCCAGAAAGGGATGCGTCAATATCGGCCTTGATTTAGGCAAGATTGCGCAGCCAGCATACATGTACGGTAGGAATTGATTGCGACATTCTCTGAAATTGATTATTCGCCTAAGCGACTTAGAAATTTTGGGGTAAGTACAACAACAATGGAAGCTGTTTTCATCACCCTGGGCAACCAACAACCATGAAAGAAATTCTCATCAACATGAACCACGAAGGCACCTGAGTTTATCACGTCAAGGTTCTTCATTGTACAGATACTGGGATGCATGCAAATTGGCGCGAGAACAACTCGATACCGCACGGGGTTTGATCGATCACATGATTACATTGATTACACAAAATGGAATGTTACATGCGCGCCTCTCGCGCTTGACACCAAAATCCTGACCCTTATACGCTTCAGCCTTCTGCAACCCCGGTTTGGCCCCTCGTCTCTCCCCCGTTGCCTCTCACTACAGCCAATGACGCGCGCGACGTCGGACCGATATGCGCGGAAACAATGCCCGGTGCGACCTTCGTACCGTCCCACGCGAACCTGTTTCCTCTCCTTACATGAGTGGGGTGGTGTGTGGAGTCCGACCTCCATAAAAAGTTGCGTGTTCGCCCGGAAAAGAATTCGAGTAGCGTGGGGGTATAAGGGAGAAGAAGCAAAGAGCTTGGAAATGTGGCGTGATGCGTACTACACTACTCGCGTCCTCAATGTGGTGTGCAGAAAAGAACAAGGGAAGACGGGCGATGGCGTTCTCCACAGTCTACTCTCCTCGCGCCTACGAAAGCCGTTTTGCTGTCATAGGCGCTATAAGGCCTTTCGATCTGACATGCTCAATCCTCTCTGGCCCTGAGGTTCAAGGCTGAATAGAGAGCGACATGTGATATTTCATACGCTCGCTTTCTTCTTCTGACTAAACGAGCTTGTAAAGTCCGTTTCTAATTCTTCGAGGTTTGAGTATGCAGATGAGAGTCTCGGACTTGGAGGTGAAAGATGTGCGCATATTTCTGGCATCTGGCGCTTCTTTGTTAGGATGCACATTGTGAAGAGTTTACCGGCATGGTGTGGGGGGACTGGAAAGGACTTACGGAACATGCAGAGTCGGAGCGGGGACGTTGTAGGTATTGTTGGCTTTGTGCTTGAGATTCTATGGCTTGCATCTCGTAGGTGTACGTTATGCGCAGGAGATCGTGGATTGTGAGGTGTATGGTCGACATGGCTGATTTAGCGACAGCGTCCCTTGTTTGAAAAGCAGGGAGTGATGAGAGTTGAGAGTTGATTCTCTTTTCGGTTCTGGATATACAGTACAATAGAGAAGTCTAAAGAGGAGGATTAGGGTTGTTGTTCTCAGAAGTTGCAGATGAGCGACTCGAGGGGTGTGGAGGACTTGGCTATATAACGCGCGTTGGCCTCCCTCGTTCCGCTTATTTGAGGTTGCTCACAAACACCTCTACTATGATTGGTCGGCGCCCACAACCGACTATGCTTCGCAAAGGAACACGCAATGCAGGGACTTTGTCAAAAGCGTGGAGCCACGTGTGGAAACTCGCACCCTCCCGAGTCCAGGTCAGTACAATGTGGGTTTCAGACTAACAAAGTTGAAGTCGTGGTTGCAAGTAATTGGAGATGGCCGACTTGTTGATTGTGGCAGCCCAGGAGCTTTATGTGAAGAGCTGACACAGACTATGCGGCATGCGGCATGCATCAGCCGTCTGGAAATGTCGCACTGATGGGCAGCTGCTATGCTGAAAAGAGCTTAATTTCAACCTTGCAGAACTTGGATCTATTCTCTGTTTCGCTGTGCATGCTGCGGCGGGCCACTTCTAATTGGTGCCTGTGCAATACTCTACTGCAGGCGCACGGGGTTGGCGTCCTCCGGCGGAGGTAAACACCGACTCCGACTTCTCCGACTGCACCGCCCTGTGAACAATGAAGCGTTTATGCTGATGCCTAGAGATTACCGGATGATATCGCTACTGCCACTGAGGCTACGGTCAAAAGACGAGTGGTGTTAACGCCGAGCAGAGATATTCAAGTCCAACAAAGTGGGTGATCGATGGGCAAAGGCAACAACTTTTTTGTCCTTGTTTCGTGCCAACAGCCCCCTTGTTGAGATACCGACTACTACTCCCACGTGTACCGAGTTTAGACAATTGCTGATCACCAATACGTTCTCTCGAGTCAAAACGATATCGCCCTCGTGTTGATTCCGACATGACAAACGCTGATGAAGAGTGGTAATGAAATTGGATCTATGTTTCTAATGCTGATGCATACCTCTATTACACCTTTTTGCCACAGCCGCCCCATACTTCTATCCACTCCAGTCTGCTGGGCAGCTGCATCTTGGATATAAGGAAAAAGTAACCTGTGTACTTTACTTATTCATTTTAGGCCAGCATGATCAGCTGCTACCCATACTAGGAACCTGGTCCTCTATCCTGTGCAACAAGGGCACACGCTCAGCATCCACATTACCCTCGCCCTCAGGATCAGGATACACCATCTTCTTCCACTCTCCCTTGCCCACTTTGCTGACTCGCCAGGTGCCCTGTTCCGCTGCCTCCTTGAAGAACTCCATGTTCTCGTCAAAAGTGCGTCCACCCGTCTCCGGCAGATAGACGTACGTCCACATGCCAGCAAAAGCATTAGTACCTGCAAACACAAGGAAGATGTAGTAGTCCAAGTTATTGAAGAGCACAGGTGTAAGAAACGTGATAGCAAAGTTGGCCAGGCCCCAGATAATGACGGAGATGGCAGTTCCCTGCGCACGGGCAGTGGTGGGGTACACTTCAGTTGGGAACAGCCAGACAGTCGAGAGCCAGCCGATTCCGAAAGCGCCAGTAGCCACGAAGAGAACAACTGTGCCAATAATACCAGGGACATATACGGGGATGTGCAAAGAGTCAGAGTTTGCCACGAGGCCACCGAAGAGAGCGAGGAGCGCAAAGGAAGTTGCTAGGATGATGGAGCCATGGAGGAGTATCTTGCGGCGACCGATGGCGTCGATGAGAAGCCAGGCGAGGGTCATGAGGAAGAAGTACGATGTGTAGTTTCCCAGAGTGAGATATTCCGAGTTGCGGACTGAGAAGCCGAGTAACTGCGATACAATTTAGTATCATCTTACTGTGTAAAGATTGTAGGACTCAGAGTTACATACTTCAAAGATCTGCGGCCCGTACACGCTGACTGCGCCGTATCCTGTCAATGCCTGGTTGACCTGAGACATTACTGTGATCATTGTAGGGTGAAACTGCGGGTGTCCAGGTGTCAACATATCCATATAACCAGCCTTCTCATCCTTCTCTTTCTTATGCTGCTCCAGGAGCACTTCAAGCTTATCCTTTCCTTGCTCTCCATAAATATCTTCCATTGCCTCTTCTGCCTGTTCCTTGTGGTCATGAAATATAAGCCAGCGCGGAGACTCTGGAAGACGCTCCACAAACGCAATAAGCAGGACAGGATAGACCTGCATGACAATAATGGGGATGCGCCACGCCCACTGGTTTTGCTTGCCAAGCAGAATCGTTACGAGGAGATTGATGCCAAAAGCCATGACGAGGCCGAAAATATTGCTCTGAAACTCCTGCGCCAGAGCTTTACCGCGGGAATCGTCCGAACTCAACTCAGAAGAGTACGTCGGGATCACCGCGTCAATACCTCCAACACCCAAACCCATAATCACCCTTCCCGTCAACATGATACCCAAAGCGACCTGACTGCTCTTTCCCAGAATACCCATTCCGCTGGTAAACATGAGCAAATTCCCCAAAGAAGCTGTAGCCAAACTGAAAAAGATGCTTCTTTTCCTCCCGAACTCGTCGGCGAGTTTGGAGAAAAGGACGGCGCCAACTGCGCACCCGAGATAGTAAACAGCCACGATGACGCCGACCATGGGAGACTCCTCGTACAAGCCCATGGTATCGAGGTAGTTGTAGTTTGTGTTGATGAGCGACATCATACCCTGGTCGTAGCCGTACAGCGCAATGGCTGTAGCGGAGAAGATGATGACATTAGTTTTTTTGTCTTTTATTGCATAGGCTATAAACGACATTGTAGTATGTATGTATATGGCCGTGAAGGCCTAGTAAAGGGCACTTAGGCAGTCCGTATGAAGCAGTCGGGGAATTCAGTTGGCTAGTAACCTAGCTATTAGAAGGTTTTACAAAGAGTGTAGTATGAGAAAGCTGGAGAGAAGACCAAAGTTAAAACGCCTGGGTCTGACGTATACATATGCCCGGTTGGATTAGTTATTAGACATTGAACAGACGCTACTTTTTTCCCCATTTTCCTTGGTCAGCTGGCTGGATGCTGTTATGCGCAGGGCGATCCAAAAGGCTTTTTTGCTTTGACCTATGACGAGTGTATGCAGGGCCGCGATGTCAATCCGAGACTAGGATCGGGAGGCTGCCCCCACCAGTTTGCAAGTGGTCTTTTGCCAGCGATGATTTTACAGCGTATTTCCCTAGCAAACATCTACCCTTGATTGATATTGTTCAATTCGCCTTCTTCCATGGATGTATTTGTTGTTTTCTACTAGTTCGCGATCGGAATGGCTTGGGTGCGCGTCGATGAATACCGTGTGTCACCGCTAAGCTTCGGTCTGACATCCTTCGCGCCGCTAATTGTTAGCGACATCGCGCCTGATCGACTCGATCGCTTCTTTTTCGATGCACCCTCCGATACTTGTTCTCTCATCGTCAATCACGATTTTTCGCTTGCGCGACTGAAATGTGTATGTAGAGCGGCAGCGTTTCTCCATTGATTGCAGCGCCGCATTTGAGAGTTTACAACCTACGCCTAAACAACCCAATGGTACCGATTGTGTGGAACATGTTTATGTGGGGCTACGGGTCCCAGTCTTTTCTAAGGGTAGAGAACCTGACTCAACTAGAGTACCATACTACTTTAACAAGAGCTTCGAGCACTTCAATGGTCGTCGTTGCAGGAATAATTCACCCTTTCGTTATGGCGCCTTCCAAATGTGGCATTCCGATTAATGCTATTGTCTGTGATACACCATAACCTCACTAAAATATATTATATGCTAGCTGAATTGAGATCTTGTCCCTTCACCGACATGAATCGTAGTTGAGAGAAGACACCAAGTCCCTGGAAACTGACAATTCTTCGCAGGACCACAGCACAGCGGCCCTGATTAATATTTGCACGGCCCTAGTCATCTCCTGCATGATTAAGGAGCTGCGGTTCTGGCCAGGCCATCACTGCCAAGTCGCAGAATAAGATCTCGACCTCCGCATAGCTAAAAGCTTTGATTAGACAAGCGAATCACAGGCAACCTTGGCTCGTCGATCCAATCTGTGTGCTCAATCGCCTGCAGAAAGGCAGTGCAAAACCACGACTCAGCTGTGCATCTGCAACCTCAGTCCCGCGGTCCACGCTCCAGTAAGCCCGCAAAACCACCCTGCCAAGTCGGGCTGTATCTGAATCAGGCTTACGCTTACACCACTGCCGCCACGGGGTTGCCTCCAATTGGAGTCGTTTGTTGCAGCCTTGCCACTTGCAGTGTTCGCCATTATAACATTGTCCCGCTGCCAGCGCTACCTAGACGCCACCGCCTGAATCGCACTGTTTTTAGTGGCTGGTACAATGTTTGAATGAAACGGGCCAGGGATAGGGGAGTGAGGCACGCGACATAATAATATGAGGCTCTCTCGCGCCTGGATGACCGGAGCGCAAACGAGTTGCTAGCATCAACACTTTTGATTTTGTTCTCTTCGCAGGTGAAAATAGCATTGCCATGACAGAGAAGGCGCAGAGTACGGCCAGTGTGTCCAATGGCACGAATGGCGATTCTTCCAAACGGCCACCGCTAAAAAAGCAAGACAGCGACAAGGACTTTGACGATTACTTTGTATGTCTTCTTTTTTCTCACGACAGCATCTTGTATAGTTACTAACATTCATCAGATTGGCCCACGCGACCTCGACCACCACTCGAAATGGCCCGTCTTTCTTCGTGTTCACGGCAGTGTGACACCAGAAATGGTGTTGCCTCTGTTGTTTGTGGCCGGTTGGGCCAGCATGATTACACTGATATCAAAATTCGTACATGACCGTAAGCATTCCACAGCTGTTTCCTTACCACGCAAACATGTACTGATTATATCCCACAGTCAGCGTCAATCAGCTTCTGCTTACCGTCCTGGGTTTTGTCGTCGGTCTCGCACTGAGCTTCCGAAGCTCCACAGCCTATGAGCGTTACAATGATGGCCGCAAATACTGGGCCCAACTCACCTTCGCATCCCAGAATCTCGCTCGCCTCATCTGGATCCACGTCGACGAACGCCACGACAAGGACCCGAAGCTCGGCAAGCAAGACCTACTGGCCAAAATCAACTGCCTGAACCTCATCGCCGCCTACTCCGTCGCCCTCAAACACAAGCTACGCTTCGAGCCCTATGTGCATTACGACGATCTCCAGCACCTAGTTGGCCACCTCGACACCTTCGCCCGTGAAGCCGACCAGCCCGACGCCAACAAGAAATCCAGCGTCTTCAAGACTGCCGGCAAATTCCTGGGCCTCCCCATGGCCGAATCGAACCCCCGTAAACTCCTCAAGCGCTCGCGCGTGCCCCTCGGCAACCTCCCCCTCGAAATCCTCAACTACCTAAGCATCTACATGAAATCTATCTACGACAACGGCACCTTCAAAGTATCAATCTACCAAACGCAGTCGCTAAACGCAATCACGACTTTCAACGATGTCCTCGCGGGCACAGAGCGCATCCTGTCTACCCCCTTGCCCATCGCCTACAGCATCGCCATCAGTCAAATCACTTGGGTCTACATCCTGCTTCTCCCCTTCCAGCTGTACAAACTACTCGGCTACATCACCATCCCCGCCAGCGTCTTCGCCGCGTACATAATCCTCGGCATTGCGCTTATCGGTCGCGAGATCGAGAATCCCTTCGGCGACGACGTCAACGATCTCCCGCTCGACGCGTTTTGTCTGCAGATCAGAAAGGACATTGACATTATCATGAGCAAGCCGGCCTCGAGTATCGAGGAGGTTGTCATGCATCCGGAGAATCAGCTCTTGTATCCACTTAGCAAGCTAGGCAGTGCAGGATGGGCAGCCAAGAGTGTGGAGGAGATTAGGGATGCGTTGGCGAGTAAGCCGGGCTTGCACTTTCCGTTGGTAGAGCATGATGAGCATCCCAGGCCCAGTCACTCGGGCGGTGCGGGGCTTCGTCGTCGCACGACGAATGAGCACCATGCTGAGGAGGGTCATGCGGGACATAGTGCAGTGAGTAGCAATGCCGGCGGGGATGCTGGGGATTGAGTGAACACGCATTGTATGCCGCCCAGATAAACAAAGTTTGCACTCTACATTAAGCGAGGCAAGCATCTCGTGCTCATCTTCCACCTATGGAATATAGCAAACTAACTTTTTTTAAAAGTCATATAACGTCCGCTGATCTCAGAGAAGTAAAACTTTTCGTCTTGAAGACCACAATGTATTCTCCGTCCTAAGCATAAGCATCTCCAAATTCCTCATCCTCCATGGCCAATTCACGAACTCCAAGGCAGCAAGCACACCTATCGCTGCACCGCGTACCCTTCTTGCAATAATGATCAGTGGAGCAGAACCCATAACGGCAGACCAAAACACCAGTGCGATCATTCGAGCACTCGTATCTCTTCTTTTCCCCATCATCGAATGCGAGAGTGTTTTTCTTTGCCATGGCTACGTGTGTGTCGGTCGAGGTTTCAGTGATAGAAGGGTGAATACTGAGATTGCAAAGGTGTTAGCAATTGGGTTTGAAGACATCGTTGACGCATTTATGGGGCTACTCACGTAGGCTTTGCATTGTTGTGTCCAGTGGAGTGCATGCTGGTTGCCTCCTCAACAATGGTGATAACAACGGCACTGGACAAGGCAATCGCAGGCGAAGCAATAGCAAATTCCATTAGGCCAGTAAAGGCAGTGGCTATAGTAAAGAGCTTCATTGGAGCGTGTATGCGTATGTGATTGTAGACTAGTCGTCACCTCTAAGCGAGAGTTGTGTGATTAAAAAGGGAGTGAATGGGTGAGTAGAGCCGTTGTGAGAAAGGACGAGAAATCCTATCAACTGTGTAGTTGAATCGTGTGAGGAAGAGGCAGAAGCATTTGGAGAATGATGAAGTGGAGCATAATGAGAGATCCCGAAGTGAAGTAAAAGGAAGGAGCAAACGAACCCGCTGCCTACCTCATTCGAGTCAGTACGTCACTCTGCCAAGCGCTAAACTGAACCACCGACATCAGTCTTAAAGGTTTGCTTGGTTTTCAAAACGTCGGGTCAGTCCAAATGATAATGCGGGTGGACTACGTTGCCGCGTCAACAGCACTGGTAAAATCACATCTAGAATGCGGCAAAGCGAATAGTCGGATTCACTACACTAATCACATACATACATTCAAGTAATAACTGAGACGGTTTGCTTAACGACAATGAATACTTTTGGTCATATATATCAACTCTACCAAACGAAAGAACCCGTTATCTATCGCTTGGTGTAAAAATAAACGCACTTATCCCTCCAAACCTCTATATAACGCCGGGTCATGCAGTTCTGCAAAGTCTAAGATATCGTGCGGTTGTAAAACCAAAAAAAAAGTCATGAACGCATCTAGTCGGCCTCGTCATCCGTGTTGGGAGGTTGGGGTGTGCCCTGGCCACTTAGTTAGTGTCATACTCAAGCTGCCTATGATAGAAGAAAGACATACCTTGGGGCTGTTCAGCCAGTCAATGTACCTCAATCTTCTCCTAACTTCCCGGTCCTTGAGTTCCTTCTTGGTCATCTTCTTCTTCTTCCTGGCCCTGAACTTCATGTCGTCCTTGCCACCCTCGGTTTCACTCATGACAGGAGTACCGTTGGTAGATGGAGCTGCAGAGCTTACGTTGCTGCTCACGTTGCTGGATCCTGGGCGCGAGTCTTCGAAACGGTCCATGTTGACGGCAAGGTGACCCTTGTGGGTGACGCGGCCATCGGCGACATGCCATTGTTCGGGGCACAGCGCACCAACAAACTCTTCATTGTGAGAAATCATGATGACGCCACCCTTGTATTCACGAATGGCAACAGCAAGTCCACCAAGGGAGTCACGATCCAAGAAGTTAGTAGGCTCGTCAAGGACGAGAAGATGAGGGTTGTTCCACATGGCACCAGCTATACATTTGTTAGTATTCATTTGTCAGTGTTGCAGATGAAGTGTACATACCGAGTACAACCTTGACCTTTTGTCCTCCAGAGAGACCGGAGATCTCGTTGTGGTTCGCAATCTCAGGGTCCAAGCCAAGATCCTCAAAGTGCTTGGAGATGACCTTAGGTTCAAGGACACGGTAACCGAGACCCTCACGCGAAGACTCGTGGTCATCGAATTCCTGGACGAGCTTGGTGAAGCCCTTCTCCATCAAAGTCTCACGGGAGATATGCGAGTTGAACTTGGGCAGCATGTGGAGCCACTTGACCTCATACTGGAACGACTTCTTGTACTTGGAGCGACCAATAAGCGCCTCAATCTTGCGGGGGCCCTTGCCGTCACCAAGGTCAATTGGAGTCTCCATTTGAGCCTTGTCTTCGGCAGTGAGGACACGAGTCTGCTTCATGAGCACCTCACGGTCATCACCGTTGGCGTAACGCCACTGTAGATACTGGTTGGGTGTCTTTTCCAAGTGCATCTCGACGTGCTCAAGAGCGTGTTGTTTGATGTAACCAATACGTAAGTTGGGGTGCTTCTCGACGGTACCTTCCTGAGGAATAGTCTCTCCAGTAAGCATCTTGATGAGCGTAGATTTACCAGCACCGTTGGCGCCAATAATAGCCACTCGAGATGAGAGAGACAAGTTGCACGAAGCATCAACGAGCGAAGGCTTGGACGCTCCAGGATAGGTGTACGAGCAGTTGGTCATGCGCAGGATAGAGCGAGTGTTGGACTTGACACCAGTGAGGATACCAGGAGCAGGGAACTTGAACTGGACCTGGGTAGCCGACAGGGTGTAGTAGCTCTTGGCTTCGGGCTTTTGTCGAACAAAGTCGGCCAGGTTACCCTTGTAGCATACCAGCTTCTTATTTTCGTAGTGGTAAATATCTGTGCAGACTTCATCGAGGAAACCAGAGTCGTGGGAGACGATCAAACTGGTGATATCAGAGTGCGACTTGAGGTACTTTGCAAGCCACGCAACGTTGGCGACATCCAAGTGATTAGTGGGTTCATCAAGAAGAAGGACATCGGCGCGCATGAGCATAGCACGGGCCAAAGCCAGCTTCATCTTCCAACCTCCGGAAAGAGATCCGACCTTGTGCGATTGTCTGCCTTCGGGTCCAGAGGTAAAACCGACTTCTTCCAAGACTTCGGAGATGCGCTCCCTGCTCTCGTCCGCGAAGCGGGGGTCTTGGACAATGTACTCTAGAATAGAAAGATCGGCATCTTCGCCCTGGTTGTGCTCAACAAAGCAGGTCTTGACCTCGTCCTGAGATGGGAAACCTTCCAACTTGCCGCTTGCGATACTTCGCATGAGCGTAGACTTTCCAGCACCGTTGCGACCGCAAAGACCATAACGGTGGCCTTTGAGCAGGCGCAGGTTGGTGTGCGAAAGAAGCAACATACCACCGTAACCTAGAGAGAAGACGGCGTTGACAATCTCAGTCTCTCCGTCATCCTCTTTGACGGGTTGGCCGAATTTGCGGTGATCCTCGTCAACATAAAATTTGTGGACAGCCTCTGCGACCTTGTCGGCATCACCAGCATTCACCAGGTGCTCCAGGTAGGGTACGACGAGCTTAGAAATGCGCTGGAGCTCTCTCTGGTTCACGACCTCGGCAATCATCTCAGAGATGTAGGCCTTTGTAACGTTCCAGGTCTCGGCATCACCGGGGAAGTTGAGCATGGTACCAGCGGCAGCAATCTCCTTGTCCAGAACCTGCTGAACATCTGATGACAGGACGCGGGTAATGGCACCGCTCTCAGTGTTGTGATCAGGGTTACCCATGGCCTTCTCAATGACATCCAATGCACGCTGTCCAATTTCACGGACTTCTGGCAAGGATGCGCGGTCCTTGACAGCCTGCACACCAGGGCGAAGCTTGGGAAGGAAAGCGCGCGCCTCGATAGGGTCGTGGACGAGCTTAGTCAAGTTTTCGACAACAACAACTGTCTGGCGAGTGACTTCCTGGGAGGTCGAGGGCATGTTCAAGGAGCGCTCAAGCAGAGGAGTGACCATGGCCAATACGGGGGATGTGACGATGGCGACAAATGTCGTTTGCGAGAGGGCATGGATGGCCTTTTGCAGACTCTGGGTCGAGGGGTCTTCGATAGCCTTGACAAGGAGGGGTATCCGGGGTGCAATGTCGTCGTTCTGGAGGAGGGTGGTGAGACTGTTCATGGTCTTGACTGCTTGTTTTGCAACCTGTTCATAGTTAGCATGGCTTTGTGATTTTCATGATGCGACAGTGGCATACCTCTGTCTTAAGGTCGTGCATTCCAGACTCAACAATGGGGATGAGGCCCTCGAGCTTCTTGCCCATGGCCTCACGCAGAACGTCCTTTTCCTTCTCTACCTCAAAGCTCTCCATGCCCATCTTGGCCTTGTCAGCCATGCGGCCGATGAGCTCGTATGCGAAAGCAGCACCTTGCCACTTTCCAGACTTCTTGCCCAGGTATTTTGAGAGCACAGGGAGTAGTCCGACGACCTTGGCCTCAGCGCTCAGGTTGTCAAAGAGCGAGTCGAGCGCATACTTGGCCGACTCCCTGACGGCGCCAGTCTTGTCTGCCATCAGGTCGAGCGCCAGGGGTACCGGACCCTCTTCCTGGACGAGAAAGATGGCCTCTGTGATGCGCTGCGTGCGCGGGAGGCGCTCAAAAAGGGCGCCGAGGGCGTTCATGGCGCCCTCTCTTCGCACGGCATCCTTCTTGTTGCCGGCGAGTTTCTTGATCTCTTCGATTATGCCATAACCACGAAGGCCACGGAAGCCAACTGAGTTCTGGAGAAGGGTGGTGAGGGCGTAGGCGGCGTCGACCGAGGCGAGCGACGTCTTTGCCGTGACGATGCTGTTGATGAAGGCGGTGACATCTTCCTGCGAGGGAGCAGGGCTGGCACCAGCCTTGTCGACAACGATAGCAGGAGCCATAGGTGGCGATTCAGAGTGTGGCATCTGCTCGAGGGAGATGGTGCGCTGCACTTTTTCTCTGGGAGCGGCGAGGGATTTCTTTTTTGGAGGGGCTTCCTTATCGATATCAGGCAAGGTTGGCGGCTGCAAGCGTAAGCGGCGCTCAGCAGCGTGGGAGAAAAAAAATGAGCGCAGAAACGCGGGTATCAAACGTGTAGAGACACCCCGATGGAAGAGTGGAGAGTCTATACAAAACACAGGAGCAGTGAAGAAGGAGCGTTGGTAGGGCACGCCGGGCAAAAGTGTCGAGGGGCCTGTCTTGTACTCTACAGTCGGGCGCGGATCTAAATGATTATTTTCGCCCACGGGTCAGGGCGCCGCTTGCGTGCACGTTTTTCCTTTTCGCCCGCCCTAGTCCTGCTTCCGCTTACTGCAGGGCTGGCTGACCCTCGCCGGATCTCCCATCTTGCGTCTACACCGTATCCTGCTTACCACCTGCCTGCCTACCGTTGGCCCAGCCTGAAACAAATCAAAAGTATATCGCTTGATGCGACCTTGATGCGGCGAGTCTTCCTTCAACTTTGGAACCTCGCTTCACCACCCATGTTTCGACCGCTTTGCTCAAATCCCGCTTAATATACCCATCCTTCTTTCTCATCGACTCACCGCCATGTGCGAACCAACAGAGTGGCTCAAGAACCCCCACACGCTTTCCAAGCCTCATATCTTCCATCTTAGGGTACATGAAGTACCTGCCATTTACCGACACTAGCGCAAGGAATGCAGACACTAACACGCTTAGCATACAAGTCCCTCAACAAGGAGCCTGGCATTTTACCCACACAATACTGATAAGCAAT